AATGTATTGTGACAAGTGAAATAATCTGCCATTTATAATCAATATTAAGGAATTATATTTATATTTAAAGCAAACTAATATATCTTGTTCAATTGTTACTTTGTCTTGTTTGAAATGTGATAACGTATTTGTAGGAAATGGAGCAAATATACTTGGTAAGATTTTGGTTTTGCAGTGTAATGTGTGTTTTTTCACATTTTTATTCACAATTCAGTAATTATATTGTTCATTTAGCATAAATTCTGCCCCATGCCTTCTGATTTTAGTCTACCACAAACTTAGTTTTTTGGTAGTTTTCTAGTCATAAAATTGTTCATTTTGCAGAATAATTTTTATTTATTTATTTTTTTTTTAATCACAGATTCCAACACAATGAAGAAAGCAGTTCTAAAAACATATTAATGGTACTTTTACTGTTGTTGTTTGTGGAAATCCAATGCAAATATTCCAAGAAATGTTTCTTGAATTGATTAAATCTGTTTTTAAACACATTTACTGGTCAATTTTTAATTTTTAGACAAAATTAAGAGCTGCAGGTTACAGATTGGTCTGTTACACTTTGTTTAGTGTAAAGTATGGTGGTGGCAGCATCATTCTGTGGTATTTTGCCTCAGAAAATGGGGCTAAATGCAGATGTTTTTCTTCCACTTAGCAATAATTTAATTCCTAAAAGAAATATTTAGGTTTGCATGTATTTATTATTACTATTATTGCAATAAATACCACAATTTTTTTTAGAATTGCTTGTTGTCATTGATGCATCTTAAATATATGTATATATATTTCTACATAATTTGGTTTTATTCTTATGTTTTGTTGCTATTTTTGCAGGTAAAAGGCCCAAAAAAGGAATGGCAACAGCCAAACAGAGACTCGGCAAGATCCTTAAACTCAACAGACACAGTCGTGTTTTTGTTTGACGCGCTTCCTGAAACTTCAGACTCAAAGAAGAAAAAAAAGAATTTGCCGTCAGTTCTCAAAGAAGTGAAAAAAAAAAAAACTTAAAACAAAACAGAGAGAGGAACTTTTTTTTGTCACTTTTGTGCCGGAGAAAATAAAAAGATGGAGACAACCGCAACCGACCGGATCTGAAAACACGCTCACTGTGCATGCTGAGGAGACAGGGTATTGAGTTTGAGCAAATCTCCACGGGAAAATAATGAAAATAAAAGCACACTAAGAACAAGAAAAGGAGAATTTTGTGAATTTTTATGTGGATTGAATTGAAGTTTCAGCCGGCATTCGAATGGGACTAAGAAAACCTGCGAGCTTCGCTTCCGGATGAGTTGGAACGTGGTGCTTCGAGAAATTCAAAGGAAAAAAATGGAGGCGGCGACGAACTGAAATTTCAAAATGGTGCTTCTTGTTTTGTATTTTTCTTCCACTCGTGCTTTGCTTCCTCCCTCTTTTTATCTCAATCACACCAGCAATAATGACTTTGGAGCGAGAGGAGAGGCGGAGAGCGGAAAGAGAGCGCTGCCTCTTCCTGAATTTGTTTTCAATAGGATTTAACTTTAATTTATTGCTCATTTTATCAGTTTTATTTTCAATGTGTTTATGGATTATGTATTTATTAATTGAAAGAATTGATCATTTTATTATGAAATTACCATGAAACCTTTAGTTTTGAGGGTTTTAAGAGGTGTTTTTCTTTTTTAAAAAAACATTTTTGTAAATGTGGATGTTTTTAGTCTTGAGTAGCAGTTGACCTTCGACCTTTCTAACTTTCTGTCATCACAAATCTTTTCCTTCTGCAGTTGACTTGAGCCTGTGTTGACTCCCGTCTCTTCCCAGTGATTTTAGGGCGATGTGTGTAGAGACATAGGTTAGATTTATTTCTTTCACCTCTTCACCTGAACATTCTCAGTTAGTGCCACTTAACTTTAATTAGCAAAAAAAAAAACCTAAATATCTGAGCCACTGTGGTCGGTACAAACTACTTTAGTAGTTTTCATACCCCTTGAACATTTCCTATTTGTTACTTTTCAGAAATTTTATGATATACCAACATAAAAGTGGAGAAAATGTTTAAAATATTGTCACTTCATTCCAAGCAAATAATTTTAAATTGAATTACACTTTGTTGTTGCTCCCATTATATTGAAAACTACAGTGTGCCGAGTAACGCACCAGAGGGGATTCCGTAACTGAAATTACACACTTAGTGTTATAAGGCAAACGCAAGTCTTTTTCTTTTTTTTTTATTCAATGTATTTATTGTTTTCAACACTTCCTTTTTTTTTATCTAATAAATGTAAGATAAAAATATATTACCTCAGCATGATTCTGCCACCACCATAAATCCCCCCCAGTGTTCATTCAGTTCAGGGTGGAGTGCAGTGTCAGTTTTCTGGCAGTTTTTTTGTTTTGTTTTGTTTGTATTAATTAAAGTAAGAATATATTTTATTTTTTTGCTAAAAACTTTGGAGTCCCACAGCATGATTCTGCCACCTCCATATTTCCCAGTGTTCCGAGTGAGCTGGAGTGTTAGCTTTCAGTCACAAGCTTGTATTTATCTTTTTGACAACTTAATACTAAAAGGAAAACATATATATATATATATAGTTTTTGGCTACAAACTTTTGGCTACAAACTCAATTCCCACAGCATGATACTTCCACCACCATGCATTTTTCACTGGAGTTGCTATTTTCAGTTAAAAGTGGCGCACTGTTAGTTTTTTGCCACAGTCTGATTTATTTTATTGTTTTTTACAAATATTTTGGGGTACAATTTTAATTACCACAGCATGATTCTGCTACCAACGTGCTTCACATTGGAGACACTTTATTGAGCTTGGAATGTTTTTTCTTTCTTTTTGTTTTTTTTCAATATATTCCTTAAATTAACCATTTTTAAACATGACAACTCATTATATTCCCTTAGCATTATGTTCCCACCACCAGGTTTTCAAGTAGAGATTGTGAATTTGGTGAATTAACTTAATTTCAGGGTGGGGATTGTTTTAACTTAATGTACAAAAATTATGCAATGCAATACTTTAGGTTTGTCACATAAAAACTATAATTTAAATTAAATTTTGTGGTTTTAAAGTGACAAAAATGGGGAAAAGTTCAAGGGGTAGAAACACTCAAAGTGTTCAGAAAAACGAGGAACCTGCGATGGGAATGACTGAGTATTGTTTTTATTTTAAGTACCAGTGATGTTGTGAAATGTGAGCAGTTCTTCACTCTCAGGGAATGATGCCATGGACATTAACCTCCGATTAACCACCAGCCACTTCATCACGGATGCAGACAGGACGTCCTCAGCTCTCCCAGGACTTTCAGGAAGTCCTGCTTCCGAGAAGCTGAGGTTTGTTTTCATATTTCCCCCCCCCCCAAAAAAAAAAAACTCCATTTTGAGGTTTTTCAGGTTGCTGTCACCAGTCCTTGTATCCTCCGGTGTTGTCCCTCAAACTTCCAAGTTGTGTTCAGCTCAGTGTTACTCATTCATCACCCCTCCTGGAGTTGACCCTTGACCTCATCAGTGAACTGCCATATAGCTTTAAGACCATTCTGTGAACAGTGAGGCTGGGAAAACGTTTCTCAGGTTGACCTACAAGTAACTGTGTGATGATCGCCAGGCTGATTCCCTACACTACACTCCTTAACTTTTTCAATTCTCTGCATCTCAAGTCACTTAAGAATAAAAAAGAAAAGAAAACGCGAGCTGGCCCGCAGGCAGGGTTTGTTTATAAGCTGTAGTATTCACACAGGATGTATCACCTCCCTCCTCTTCCTGCTTTCTTTTTAAGCATTTGTGTTGTCGGTTCTTGCAAGAGATTGCTTCTGATTTTAAATCTACAAACACTGGCTAACTGTGACACTGTTGATGCGTTGCATTTATTTCTGCATTTCAAAAATTGCTTGTAAATAAAACGAATGAAATAAAAACAGATCACGGGCTTCCGCGCCTTCTTAAGTCCATCTAAAATTAGAACGTTAGCTAGATAGCTTTTTTCGGTATCAAAGGTAAGTTTCCATTTCAATAATTGCTTGTAATCAAAATTAAACGTCTTTATTAATTTCGCACATCGTATTTTCCCCCTCACGAGCCTTTTTTTTTTTTGTCAGCCATATTGGTTTGAATGGCGCTCAACTCAAATGTCGAAACCGTTGAGGCTACCGCTGCTAGCTATGTCCGTCTATCATGGATAAGTGCAAATTTATCTCCACATTTAAAAAATTGCTTGTAAATGAAATTAAAATGTTTTTTTTTTTACTTCAAATTGTCTTTAGGTGATTATTTAATTCCGTATAGTCTGTAATTGTTTCTCGCGGGACTTTTATGTTACCATCAGACGTTTTCGTTCTACCGTTGCTAGCTAGCTTGTTAGTTTTTTGCGTCTATTATGGGTGAGTGTACATTCATCTTCGCATTTCAAAAATTGCTTGTAAACAAAATTAAAATATATATATTTTTTGAATTTTAAATTCTTTACATTATTATTTAATTCCCTATGGCCTGTGTATTTTTTTTTCTCGCGGGACTATTATGTCAGGCAAATATTTTCGTCCTATAGCAATGTTGTTAGCTTGTTCGCTTTTTTGCGTCTATTATGGGTAAGTGCAAATTTATCGCTGGACGGCGTTCGTACATTTCAGTGGAGATATAGATCTTGAATTATATTTATAATTTAATCTGTAAATTTGAGTTGGCGAAACTCTAAATCCTGTTGTTAAACTACATTCAAATTGAAGGCTTCCTCCTTTATGTCTTATTTCTTGAACGGCACAGTTTTATAAAAGCTCTCTTTTGGAGAGAAAATCTGAGTTAAAGTAAAAATCTTGACTCCAAAAATGTATTTATCACAAGAGGGAGAACAATTTCTACAATATTTTGAAAATATTCCCGTCTATTTTCAAAAGTCTCCTTTCTTTAGCAGCTTTTATAAGAACAAGAGTTAAGACTTCAACTCTTTAAACCAAACGTTTCCTAGTTTTGTTAATTAGTAACTTGTTTTTTCTAAAATAAAACAAAAAATCAACAGAAAAGTGTAACTTAAAGATAACTTTATTATATGTACAACGACTCCAGAACATCTGCAGGATTCCTCGCAAAACATAATTTCAGTTTGTCATCTGCAAAAGAAATACGCTTGTTTATAAACAGCGGAAGCAATATTTACTTTAGAAATAAGTGAAAGGAGTTTCTGAATCAAACTGAGGTTAATTTAAAACAAAGAGGAGCACCTCACTCCTCATCATCCGGCGGGATGCCGAGCTCTTCGTCTGTCCACTTGGAGGCATCAGGCCATGGGAAGTGACCCTGGAAAAAAGTTAAGAATCGTCTTGATTCAGTTGCCAGAAACCCCGTCTGTAAACATTGCAGCAGAGAAAGGCCTCAGCTTTTCACAACCACTTAATTTAATCATGAATTTTTTTCCCATCCACTGCAGGATTACATCTTTGGAAATCAACATAACAGGCAGGATGAGGTGAGTTTTTTTATTACTTTTTTTAGGCAAACCACTCAGGTGATAATTTAGAGTCCAATTCATTTTCATTTTGGGTCATCAAGATTAAGAATTAAATGGTTGATTGTCCCAGAATCTACTGATTAAACTCACTAATCACTGTTGAAATTCTAAATATCTGTATTTAAAAAATACATCTTTAAAAAAATAATAGAGACTGAACATCTTTTCACAATGATTAGTCCCTCCAGAATTTCAGAATTGTTTATTTTTTACAGTTAAAAAAAAAAAAAAATCACAGATTGTTGTAAAGCTAATTAAATATTTGCAAGAAATTGCTATAAATGACAGTAGCTATGATGTTGCGAAGTAGTTTTTGGAAGAAGAAAAAACCCAGATAATTTTACATTTTAGTGAAACTGAGGCAGAACAGGCATAGAAGAATAAATACTGTCACCTGCAGGTTGGAGATAATCGTCAATGCTTTTGACAATTTTTACTGAAAATGTTAAATCAATTCACAAATATAATTTTGTGCAAAAACTGCAGGGATTTTTTATTTTATTTTATTTTTTTACTTTCCATAAAAAACTAGCAGGGCTAATTGATGTAATTTAGCAATATGCAGGTAAAAACAGCTTGGACTTGATTCATAAAATATTTAAGCACAAAGTTTTTATTTATGCGTCCCTCTGGAGTGTATTAGAAGCTATGGCAGGCTGGATTTGGACCCCAAGCCTTCAGTTGGGCAGAAGTTAGCATCTTGTTAAATTTGATATCCTGAAATAAGTTCAATAAATGTGATTTAGCTGCAAAATCTCAATCATTTATGCAGCACCCCCTTTCACAAGCATGGAGCCGCTGACTTAATTCTTGCAAGTCTTCTGGGGAAAACCCTGCGTTAACATTGAATCTGTGGCCTGACGGCTTGTCACTGCCATTTTGGATGGAGAAAAAAAAGTTAATTTCAACCTAAAAAATACAATTTTGAGATATAACTGAAATAACCTTAAAAAATGTCTAAATTCTTTCTAGAAAATATAAAATTTGTATTTTATAACACCGCCTCTGGGTGTAATCAAAACAGTTCTGCAGTACCACCTTTATTTTATTTCAGTTTAGTTTGCACAACTAAAATACTGATTAAAGACGATGATAATATTAACAGGAAGAGGCAATAGCGAAATTGACTGATGTAAAGTCTGCACTCAAAAATATAGAAACAAATACAATACATCAGTTTATTTACCATAAATTTATTTTTTAAAAGATCACATAAAAAACTAAACAAAAACATCAAGATCTCAGTTAAGATTAAATTATAAAGTATATATTTCAGGCTGATTCTGCCTCACGTACCAGGACCGCATCTGGGTCATGCCAGCAGTGCCAGAGGATCCAGAACCACATAAGCCCGCTGATAAACTCCGACTCCAACTTCTGCTTCTTAGTTAACTGTGGATACTGTCTGTACTGCGGCTCAATGTGCGGTCCGCCGCTTGCCCTACAACCGAAAAACACGCGTTACACAACTGTAATCAACCAGGCTGCACCAAAATACTGTACGGATTTATGCTAACATATAAGTCTGCGGCAAGGCTAATGTTGTAGCTAGCTTACTTTCTGCTGGTTATTCGTCTTGGGCCGTGCCTAAGCAGCGCGGTTCCGGCCCTCAGGACTCCGAACACTCTCCCAAAGGAAGACATGATCGATAATATATTAAAACCCCGGCCAGTAAGGGGTTAGATGTGGACGAAATGCTCCTGGAGTCACCTTCTCTGTCTGGTCAATAAACGACCTCGGAACAACGTCAGCGCCGATTGGAGAGGAATTGACGTCACCGTTTGTGGATTCAGTTAACACAGCGCCCTCTTTCGGTCAACAAGGTGAAAACACCTTGTTTGCTGTAAAAACTTATTTCTCACAATGTTGGGATGTAAATATAATGCCTGCGATGGCTTATTGGGGCCTTTGCAGATTGTAAATAAGGATTGGTACATTTCTACCAAAAAACTTATAAATCTTGAGAACAATTTGAGAAATTCTCTAGAAACAACAAGGACATTTCTGAGCTCCAGAAGTCAAAATATTTTAGTGCAAAAATAATTTTTTTTTTTTCAATTTCTGAGTTTACTTTTTTTATATTCTACAAAAGTATACAAGGGAAAGTCAAGAAAAGTTTTTTTTCCTTTGTAAATCTTCTACTTTTCAAACTCAGAAATATCTGTTTATTGTTGTGGAAAGATTAATCTCTTTTCTAGTTAATTGTCAACTTTTCAAGCCCAAAAACTTCCTTGTTGATTGTAGAAAATTTCTGAGATTTATCTCAACATTTCTGAATTATTTTGGCAAAAAGTTACTCCTCTTTATGTTGTGTATTCCTAATGATTGCGATGAAACAAACCTGTAAAAATGGGCCTGACTTTTTATTTATATATATATATATATATATATATATATATATATATATATATATATATATATATATATATATATATATATATATATTATATATATATATAAAATCGCAATCTATTGTAAGTGGCATAACTTTGTTAGGGCCCTCATCTTCCTAAATTCAGTCCTGGATATGGGAGTAATAAACCCAGCATTCTGGAAATCTATTCTGTATAATTGAGTCACTAATTGTTCAAAATAAATTGTTGACTTCAAACCCTTACTTAAGGTAATTATTTTGGTTGTCTTATTATGGAACATTACTATCTAGAAATGTGAGTAAAATAGCTTAATCCATTTGAAGTGACCTGAAGATGCTTCAAGATTAAAAAAATTAGAAACTACACCTGATCAAGGAGCAGTCAAAATAAAATAAAATTTACTATTATTATTATTTCTGTTTAAACAGGATGTGGACTGAACAATTTAATTAAACCTAGTCAAGATTTTCATTGCCAACAGTAATCACTGATGTTCTCCACTAGATGGGGCTAAAGTTAAACTAATATTTAAATTAAATATGGTGTGTTCCAGTTACCTTTAACACTGTTAGGGGGGAAATTTGGTGCTTGTGTAACATTAATCTGGAACTGCTGGGATGATTTAATGTTTGCTGTCGTGTATTGGACTTTCCCTGTGTCAAAGAAAATATGTTTCTTCTCCACCAGCACAGCTTAGAAAAAAAAACCCTGAAAAGTCAAGTCAAAAACTCAAGATCAACCTCTCGGTCTGAGGTCTTTCGGTTAAGAACAATCCAGGGCACGAAAACAGGAAATAACATTGTTTCGAGAACGCGCACGGCGCCGCCGCCCTAACAAGGGGAGAAAAAAACCTGGACGCCATCTTGTTTTAGGTCGAGATCCATCTTCACCAAATTAAAAAAAAGGCTACTTCTCATTATTTGACAGCTACCTCGTATATTTTGTGTAGACACAACACGTTACCGACATAGCTATTTTAAAAGGTAATTCATATGAATGCTTTGTTCCTAAACGGACATTAATGTGACATTGTTACCTAATGGCGCCTGGCCGTTAGTGATCTCCGGTTGCGCCCCTCTCCCCTCTCAGCTCAGAGCCCGCCCACAAATACTAACTGCATGATGTCATCATAAACCAACCATTTCTGAAAAAAGAAGACAGTTTTCATCACTCGCTTTCTTTCTTTTTCTTTTTAAGGGACTACCACAATTCCTATATCCCACCATCAAGTCTTAACGTGAAGAAATCGAGATCATCTTCAAAAGAAGAAATAAGATGGCAATCGAGAAAAAAAAATGCGTTCTTCTTTCCATGTTATTCGACCTGTGATGTCTGGGTCCTCAACGGCCGCACATTTCCGACTTTTAAACCGGAGCAGAACGGACCGAACCTTTTATACTGCTGCCGTCGTCCTCAAAGTTTGCGCGAGCACCAGCAGTTGCTGCTGTCTCGCAAAAAGGCGCATGCGCCAGTGGGTGCAGTTCAGGGTGGGGGGGTCGACGAATGGAAAGGATGAGAACATCCTCCCTACACATATGATGTCAAAGGGATTTCTACATACACAGTACTACTTTAGAGAGGTGCCCTGCGATTTTATTTTATGAAACCTTATGTTAAGTAATAGGGACTGGTAATACACAGTTTACATTGAATTTAGTTGAATAAATGTATGTATTTTTAGATTTCTGATCACGCAGTGGACTTCAGACTATACACACCCATTTAAAAGACCAAATTGTGTGATGTAAAATGAGAATTTATTTTTTTCCCCCGCACAGTTCAACTGAAAAAACAAATTAAGCTCTTAGTAGGATAAAAATATAGCGACCTATCTATGTAAACTTACTTCAAGTCTGGCATTCTCTTTTTAGCAACAACTCCATGTGGATTTGTTGAATGGTTTCTTGTGAATTTTTTCTTGTGGAGTCTATCTATTTGTTCACAATTTAATTTTATCCCATAAAACACTGCTCTTGTTTAAGGAGGTTACATAACAGCTTAGCCTTCTGCTGAGTTGTTATGGATTTGGGTGATCCTTTACAAGCCTGCTACTACTAAATTCAATCCTAGTATTGTTTCATAAAAGTCTACCGCAATAAATACTGTAAAAATATATTAATATGCATAATATAGAACAGGTAAAATGTGTGAAAATAGAAATAGTAGGAATGAATCTCAAATTTATAAGAAAAAATACCTTATTTTGTCTTTTTATTTATTTTATGTGGTGGGGGGGGGGAAATCGTAGATTCACATGCGTATCACATTTTTATTTATGAACTTGTGAGGTGAGTCTTCACTAAACCCAAGTTCTCAAGAAAAGTGCAGGATTTTGTTTTATTATTCTGTTCTTTCCATCCTTGGAGGGGAAAATATGAAGCAGTAGAGGAAGCAGTTAATTGGTTTAAACAAAACCTCCTGATAAAAACATTCCGACAGCTGACTTCACTTCCAAAAGATTATCACTGAGATAATGACTGTTTCAAAACAACACAAAGTACTCTAGAGTCTATGATTTAAGCCATCAATAACCATACATTTAAAGTGAAAAATGCAAATTTTATTGCATAATTCATGGTCCACAATTCAACTATAGAAGCTATGCTAAAATGGAAATTATTCTAAAATGTAAACCATGGTTAAGCTAAAAGAGAAATCATGCTGAAGTTGTACTGAAATGGAAGTTACTCTAAAACTAAACTTGCGCTAAAATGAAAGTTATGCTAAAACTGAAGTCATGCTAAAAGGGAAGTTATATTGTAAAGCAAGTCATATTAAAGGTGCAAGCATGACATGCGTGGTGGCTTTTGGTGTTGTGTTGTGGCTTATTGTTATTGTGTTATGGGTTTTGCATTTTGTTGACCCTTCAAAGTCATGATATTTTTACACTTTAATCTTTGAAGAAAAAAAGTTTATTGTCCTCATTTGTTTTTTGAACATTTTGACATAATTAACAGCTTTTGCTCAAATTTTCTAAGCTGGGGAACAAAAAGTTACAAAAGGCAAGTTAACAGTACAAATATAATTTACTCAGCAGCTCTATTTATCTAAATGAATACAGACTGAATGTTTTCATAAAAAATATTTTGAAGTGGTGTAGCTGAACAGAAAGACATCCTGGAGATTTTTTTTAAAGGCTCGTTCTCGTGAACGCGCAAGGAGAAGACCGATCACGGCGCCCCTGTCAAACAGGGACTGTAGCCCCGCAGAATGTGGAGGCGGAGCCCGATCGTGGGGGAGGCGGAGTCTCGTGAGTCCTGGCAGGGCCGCCATTTTTTGCACAGGGAAAAGAGACTGGTTTTGAAGGGATCTAATTTCTAAAAGTCGCCGTTGACTGGGGCTCTAAGGCTTTTTCTAACGGTTTCGAGTCCATTTTTCGCTACATTTGAGGAGCCCCAACGTAAAACAACTGGCGCGCATTTTCTTCAGAAACAGGAAAAGGAACCTTGAGAGAACACGTCTGAATACAAACATTTTAAACCTAGGCTAGGAATCCGCAGTGTGTGTACTGAAGTATTGTTTTGGTTGTGGAAGCTGCGACTGGGGTCTCACCCAGGTCCCCATATTCGCTATTCAAAGCCTCCAGAGTGGACTTAAAAAGGTAGGTTAACTGTATTATGTGGCGATTCTAGATTAATGTTAAATGAAGCCTGAACGTGTATTGTTGTCTATAGTTAGCTAGCATGGTGTTACCTGCTAACATATCAGCTGAGAGTAGCCTGCTAACTTGCTCTTGAACCTTAGTAAATCAGAGTATCTAAGCGCTAAGTTTATTTCGCTTGTTTTATGGTGAGCAAACCCTTAAAAGTCTTATAAAAGAACATAAATGTATACTAAAATCATAAAGTTGTCAAGCCAACTGACCACTTGCTAACTAGCGCATGCTACTATCTCAAATTAGCTTGACACAAACCGAATAAGGCTTTGACTTCTCATTTACAGCCAAGTAATGCATTACACCTCCCGTAAAAAGAGTAAATGGTATGTAGAAGTCATAAACAGATTACAATGGCAAGCGTTTGCAACGTTAGAGCAGGGTTAATAGTACTAATTTGGAGTAACGTAACATGAAAACGCTACATTACATTGATCTGTCCACAATCAAAACTCTCCATTGAGAACATTAACACTAAAGAATGTCTGTTGGAAAACCCATCGGATGCTTTCCGATCAGCGGCCACACATGAACAGATGTGAAGTGGGAGTCACTCGGGTGTTTTAGTTTGACATGCTGACACTGCGGGCCATATTGCGCATAGTTTTTCGCGTTTGTGTACATACATTAAATATGGGCAATGCCAGAGTCTATAACCCCATTGACCGAACGCGTTTTAGTGGAAATCTCCACCTCACTTGCATACTAAATTAACTCGCTGGATTTTCGTCTGCCATATTTTCAAATAACCCAATCTGATTACATCTAACATCCGATCTTAACCTTCATTTGATTTTAATTGCACAGAATTAATTACCTCAATGCAGATTATTTATTTGATATATAGAGCAATCTTGCAGCCATGTTGTGATCCCTTACACTACAGAGTGCAACACCCTTTATTACCATGCCGTTATATTGCTCTACATTTGATAAAAACCTGTCAACAAACGCGCTTGCTCGCTTTATTATGTTACAAATGTACTGTTGGTATTTACAGAACTTACTAAGTGCTGCTTTTTGGAGTTGCCTCGCCTTACAGTATCATTTCCGTTCAGAAAAAACTACACAAAACCACCGCTCAAATCCGGAGAACAATGAGCCTTTAGATAAACCGATATGTTTAGTTTATGTCCCAGGCAACTTAGAGCAAAGCCAGTTGTTGAAATACCTTAAATGCTCGGCGTTGCATTACAGTCCCTCCTTAGTTTTGGATTCATAGTCGAAGCAGGATAAATAAAAGCTCAAGCAAACGCGTTATAGAAAACGGATATTTTGCTACTTTGGAGCTCAGATCGAGGTCTTAGTGACTTATTTTAGAGTTGGTGTGTGTTGGGATCAAACGCTGCAGCCATGGGGGAGGGGATATTGCATTTAGGTTCTCAATAAGCATCTCTCTTAGTCATCCTGTGCCCTGCCGCTTCTTTTCTGCACGCCCTGGCACTGATTACGGCATATAATGTTCAGTTGGCTTTGGTAGCCTGCTTGCTGATGTCGTCGGCCTTTCCTGTCTCTGACGACCCAAGCATTAATCCACTCCTGTCTACGCATTATGCTGTTAGCTTCCGTTAGCTCGTTTGTTGCGTTATGGCCCCAACGACCGAATATTTCCGTTTTTACCTCGACATTCTTTTCGCTTAATGGACTAGAAAAATACTTTTTTGTTGCTTTGGTCGCCGTTGTACCGACAGAAAACCCGTTAAACACCAGATTTCAAGAGGCTAATAATATAGTACTAATAATAATCATCATCATGGGCCTTGCGTTAACTGGCCGTGCGTTTCGACGGATTCACAACAGCTCTAGGCGGTTAACAACACAGAAACTGTACCGAGAGAGTGACACTTGGAGCAGAGTGTGTGAGAGTTGATTGAACGCATTCTTGGGGGGATTTTTCTTCCCACGGCGAGGCTCCCCTGGCTACACGCCGTCCTCAGAAAGGCGCTCTGAAAATGGCGACATGCACCAGGGTGTTGTGGTAACATAATAGCAACGTTGTACCCTCTCCACACCCCTATCGGCAGGACTGACTGCAGCGCCGACACACTAGCAGAAAGGCAACTGCACAACACATGATTATTTATTTCAGTTCAGGAGGAAATAACGTGGAAAAGACACTAAATCCAACTCAAACCAAATTACTAAACGTGTTGCGTCATTTTTGTGTGTTATTCTTGGCATTAATTCATGTAATGTGATGTTTTTAGTTGGATGATATTGTAGGGAAAAATCATCTGTCAGGAATAATCCATAATAATTGCTTCTATGTAATCAGTTGCGGTTTGTTTTCTTCATTAAGCTGCTTGTCATCTTCTGTAGTGTTAGATGACTTCACCTGATATCTTACTTAAGCCTTTTTGTGAATACATATCTCCAGTGATCAGTAATCTGATATGTTTAATATGCAGTGTCTTATCTGCTAAATGTTGTGTGTGCATTTGCAAATAAATTAAGAACTGTACAAATTTCCTGTAGTAATATTTAGTTTTCTCTGCTGCTGTCAGTGGCAACCATGCATAATCACGGACTTTATTATAGTTTATAAAGTCTGCTTATTGAATTAAACATATGAAACGCTAAAAGCTATAGATTACAACTGAAAATATGCATTTTATTTAGAATAATATGTACTTTATTGATCCCAGAATTGAGAAATTGTTGGGTGGCAACAGCATGACATACAGGAAACAGACAAGATGCTCAATTTAAAATAAAATTTTTAAGTTAAAAGTATCATATCAAAAATATCTTTGCACATTTTGTGCAAATGAAAATGACAAGTAAAAATAAAATATTTTGTTGAAAATGAAAGCAATTATATCTTGTTTATATGTGTTTTTCATGTTTTATTTTAGTAAAAAGCCATATTTTGTCTCAGACTGGCCACTGCCTGCATGTGATGATTAGAACTCAAGTTGGAGTTTGTAAACATACATTTATACGAGTTCATTCATAAAAAGTAACATAGCCGCTCTGTGAAATCTTATTTACACACCGTAATAAAAAACTCAGTGGAGTTTCAGGCTGCCTGTTTACCTGTTCGACTCCTGCAACTTCATCTTTTTGCAACCAGCGATTATTTAAATAATCTATTATTCAAGACATTAATCGGACAAAAATAATTTGCCACATTCTGCAGATTTTTAATTTCACCAGAATTATTTGAAATACATAAAAATATAAATAAACAATTATTTTCCTTTTAAAATAAGAATATGAATGTTTTACTGCCCAAAATGCAATAATGGATCATTTTACCTGGTTCAGATTATGTAAAAATTAATTACTTTATTAAGCATCTTTTGATTATCTAATTGTTAATCGGTTAATGCAAAAATTAGTCAATTAATCTACAAATATTGAAGTGTTCATATAGAGCAGGTTTTTTTTAATCTTAAATATAAAATTTTTATATTTGTACAGTTTTTAGTTAATCACTGCTCTTTCTTTCACCAAATTGACATTTTTGTGATCTGTAAATGGCAATTAGCAATTAATAGTTTGCTAAATTAGCTGACAATTATTTCAACAACTGATTAATCACGATTAATCGTTTCAGCCTTAATACCTGGATGTTGTGGCGTCAGCATTAAACACAACCAGGTTTTCGGATGTAATCAACCTGCTGATGCTTTTCAACATAAGTTGCCAACATTACGTCTGAAACAGAAGCAGGAACAACAAAAACGTAATAAGCAGCGAAGTCAGAGTCAGTTTCAAGTCATTTAATAAAGTTAAGTGGTTACTGCTTCGTGTCTGATGATACGCTGCCCTTTAACACACAACATCCCGAAACATTTCTCTCTGTTTGAACTCTTGTTGCTCCTTTTGCTTTATGGCAGCACAGGTAGTGATGAGTACCTGGATGGATTAAAGTGAGTCTGATGGCCATGTGCATGATGCGGTGTGTGTGTGTTTTGTTTGTTGTGTTAACAAAGACGGCGAGCGGAGGCGTGGTGGCTCTCTTGTCATAGCGACAGAGCGGGTGATGTGGATTCATGGCAGTCTCAGATGACACAGCCTCCTTTAAGCTTAGCTGCACTCTAAGAAGCTCATAGTATCAAAAAGCCTGCCTGCCTGTAAGCAGGAAGCTGCTCCTCTTCCTCCTCCTCTTCTTTTTCTTTACCTTTAATTGATTGGAGAAAAAGATGAAGAAATGAGACAAAGCTGACATCTGATTCTCTATTGACTTATTGATAAAACCGATAAATGCAATCCAAAAGCTTTTATGTTTTGTCTCAACTCAGACGATAAACCAGCGGTGTCCAAAGTGTGACTCGGGGGGCCATTTGTGGCCCTCTGGTGGATTTTTGGCGGCCCCCCCACCTCAGTTCTGTTGGTTGATGCCGATGTACACTTTTTCATCTTTTAAGGCATTTGCTTTTACAGATAACGTCTGAAAGAGACGATAAAAAGTAAGAAAAAAGATGCAGTAAAATAGTAAAGTTTATTGTTTTATTTAATTAAAAAAATGAAAACAAAATGAGATCTCAATGAGACAAGCTGTATAAATAAAGGTCAAATAAAAATAATGGTGTATAAAAAATAAATTATTGACTACAAAGGTGTATTAGAGCCAATCTAATTAAATGAAATATAATTAAAGGGATAGAAGGAATAGATAGCTTTGTTTTGTATCTGCTGTTTTCTACAAAAATCTATTCAAACATTTTGTAAATTTCAATAAAATTTAAATTGTTTAATTTTCCACACATAAATTAAAAAAGGCATAAAAGTTTGTTTTCAGCTCAACCATTTCACCCCACCCCTGCAGTAAATGCTTCTCTCTGAAACAGTAACGCCTTTCTGTGTGTGTAGACTCCCCTCACCATGTGGGACTAACCTGGGTCGCTGTTTCCCTGGTCTCTGGTGGTCTCGTGTGTGGTGCCCAGACCCCAGAGACCCACAGAGTCACATGGCCTCCCAGCTGGGAAGAGGAGCCGGGGCTCAGGTGACCTGTTGTTGTGCTGCTAGCTTGGCCATAACAGATTCCGGCTTTTTTTTTTAACCTTCCTGTTGCTGCAGTGACGTTTCACTGGCATTGAGAAAAGAAAGAAAGAAGTGTTGATGTAACAGGCGTAAAAATTGATCAGTGATCACTGTTGTAATGCATCCTGAGAGGTGGTTACTGTTGTTTTTCTCCTCCCCTCTTCTGTGCACACAGCTCAGATTTTAGCAAGTAGTGCCGTGCATTCTCCAAATGTTGGAGCCCGGCAATGGCTCCATGTTCTCCTCTAATGACAACAGCCCTCAAAATCGAGTCAACAAAGACTTATAAAACCTCACAGGTTTAATTATGATGATATATTTAATGTAATCCACACTACTCAGTTTTAAAAGGTTCACAGGTGGGTAGAGTAGCCAGAAATTGTACTGAAAAAGAGTCGATATTTAAGCATATTTTTATTCAAGTAGAAATAAAAGTAGGTATGCAAACTCAAGTAAGAGTTAAAAGCTGTTTGGTAAAATGTCTACTCAAGTCCTGAGTAACTGATCAAATGATCGATTATTTAATATTTTAATATTACATCATCAGACGGACCAAAATATCTAGTTAAGTAGAAACTTTAGGGATGCACAATTTTGGGCTGATATATTATGGCTGTACCTTAGAGGAAGAAAATACCAGAAACGGATTAAAATGAATATCGGTTGTTCATATTGGCCCAGTTTTAATTAGCTGGTCGATATCGATATATTAAAAAAGATCACTAATATGATTCAATGCCGACTTTGGTACCGATATATTGTACGTCTCTAGAAATTTTGGTATTTTAAGGATCAAAATTACAATAATTCATATAAGTAATAAAATCAGACAAAACAAAATGTTTCCAGATCAGTTTCTTTCAATAAAAAATTGTGAAACTTTAACAAAAACTGCAGGTGTGTCTGTTTCTGGTGAATTTTTGATAAAAACATGCTCGTTTTTCATTCAGTGGGTGGAGAATCCAGAAATTTTACTCAAGTAAGATTAGAAATGGTTCATAATAAAATTACCTAAGTAGAGTTAAAATATTCCTCAGCTTAATTTTTTCCCCACAAAAGTTATTCAAGAAAATGTGATTAAGTGAATGTAACTAGTTTCTGATAAACTGAATAGGTTTAAAGGAAGTCTTTATTCAGAGCATCGTCACTCAGAAACTGACCCGATGAGAAGTATTCTATTTTAAATAACTTTGTTAGGGCTCAAAATTACAAAATATTTTGTCATACTATTGGGCCACGCTCACATAATTAAATAAAACGGAGGATAAAATCAAAATAGTACAAGAAGAACAATGTTGTGATTTTGATACTGGTAATATGACATAATTCTGCCAATATTGACATTATTCTCAAAATGTTATGATTTTATTCTCATTATTTTGATTCTATTCTCAGTTTTATTCTCGTAAATTTATTCTTTATTTTTATAAATATGTGCCAGATACTCTGTTGTATCTTACAGCCACAACTTAAATGTATTTTGAAGATGATTTTATAATGTACAACACAAAGTAATGCATAACAAACGCAATGCGCAGTTCAATGTCACAAAGTGGAGGACAGAGTTAATTACTAAAGTAAAATAACAATAAACTGCTAATTATCTTTTGCTTTTGTTTTGTTTTTTTGTTGTTGTTTCTGCTCCAGTAGCTTGCTACTATCAGCGAATGAATGTGTGCATGAATGACTGAATGTGGTTTAAAGGGCTTTGGGGACCTCTGGACTTGACAAAATGCTGCACAAGTACAATTATTTACCATCAATAAAACAATAGAAGACATGTATTAGCTCCCACCGTTAGCTTAGCATCAATAATCTAGTACATAACTGATACACAGAAACTAAAAAACACTGCTACAGTTCACAGAAATAACTTTATACAAGGTATTTAAGAAACTAAATTAATAAGACGTGGTTAAAAATCTGAATTTTAGCATGTTCTCTCAACGTAATTTAAATGATAAACATAAAAATGTCTTAACAAAGCAGAGCCTCTTGTAAAACATTTAAACTCCTTCTGCTGCACCATTTGTTTAATTTACAGTGGCTTAATAAGAAGCCTCTTATTTCAAACTCTTGCTTCAAACATGAAGCAGCACATTTATCTTTCTCATAAAGCAGAGTTGGAGTGCAGATGGAAACCCCGGTCGCCGTGGGCAACTCTGTTGATGAAGAGGCGAGGCAGATGTAACGGTGAAAATGAAGGCCAGACCTTGATCAGTTTCACTCGGCTTCACAAACGTAATCATTAATTCACACACAGAAAAGGAGAAAAAATATGGCACAAAACTGTCACTTTCATACAGAATAGGATTAGGGCCACTGGGGAAAAAAAGAATCCTGACTTTTTTTCCCTCAGAATTCCGACTTTTTTTCTCAGAATTCCGACTTTTTTCTCAAAATTCCGACTTTTTTAATCTTCTAAAATCAAAAGTCAGAATTCTGAGAAAAATAACTATTTTTCTTACTGGCACTAATCTTCTTCCGTACTTTCTCAAGAATTATAAAAATTTTCATGGCAGTATCATAGGTTGCAAACACTACAATTATTTATTTGCATCTTTCAGTACATATCTCATGTACAGAATAAGCTTAAGTGGCCATTTTGTTTTATCCAATTAATTATTGGCATAATCTATTAATTGATTAGTAAAATAATCATTAGGTTTAGCCCAAATTTAAAGTATATTTAGAGTTTTTAATTTTTAAAAATTTTAATCTGATTTTGGTCCAGATTTGTCCTAAATGGAAAGGTTGATGTGGCTGAACGGGGGGAGTGGCGGTCCAGTCCGCCAGCCAGAGTCGTCCCCGGTTTTGCCTGCGCAGCATCACCTCCCCCTCCGCCTCATCGACGAGCTCTGGTGATTTCTAAAGCTCCTCGATTCATTTAGCGAGCAAATGAAAACAGAAAGGTGGACGAACGTGTAAACCACTTCCATCTTGTTGCTTCTTTTACAAATGGTTTGTTTCTTTGTTTTCCTGTTTTCGCCGCCCTCTTATGCCTGTTCGCTCCCCTCTGCATCCCGCCTCCCCATTACAGAGGCGGATTCAGCCGAAGGTGGCTTTAAAAGGTCCCTGTTGCAACTGTCTGCGACACTCCCCTTCCCCTCTGTTCTGCATTACTGTTTCAGGTTTATTTAGGAAGTGCATAGAGGAGGGAGAGGAATCCGTCTGGGCGGGGTGACCAGGCGGAGGAGGGGGCTCTTCGCCTTTTTTCCCCATTCTGGCTGCATTTCTCTGAGGTGATGGGCAGTCCTCCTAGAGGAAGTAGGAGGAGCAGACGCAGTTCGGCTCAGATTTACTCAGGAATGTGGCTGCTCTGTACTTTGTTTTTCTTTTTTTTGTGTCAGTCAGGCTCTGTTTGTGCTTTGCTTTAAAAGCTTCGCGCACTGAAGAATGTTTGAGAAGTTCCAGGCTCAACTTTCTATGCAGATTTTTGCAGAAAAGAAACACAAACAAGCCTACTTGAGGCAAATAAACATCGATATGATAATCGTATCTGTTATTTTGCTTTTTGTAAACGTCTGAGTCCAAATGAAAACACAGGAATGGAAATACAATGACGCTCTGGAAAAGTGTGTGATTTCATTTAGTGGTGTGGAAAAAGAGAACAGAATGGATAATATTAATATTTCCAGAGATGGAAATGCGTTACAGTGGAAGTACATTTTTGGAAAAGTGATCCGACTCAGTTGGATTGTGAGTCTTATATTTCTAATAACTGCACAGTATCTTCTGCTGTAATCTTTTAATCACTTTAATTACTTTTTTGTGTGTGAACCTTCACATCTGATGCAGTCTTTATTGTCTTTTCAAGACTATCAAGGCTGTTTCTATTTGATTTTTTTTCTTCTGTTTTAAATTCTCCACGATTCCAACCATCCAAATATCTATCAATATATACATTTATTTAACTTTCTGTCCATCTTTCTCTCCATCCAACTATTGTTGCTGATTCTGTGTTTAATGATAATGACAGATAAACTCAAACACTGGCGATGTATCTCCAGGAAAGTAGTAATGTGACATTTTAACCTAGAAACTACAGTGGAGAAAGTTTCTGTTTATTGTATATTTCTGTCTTTACTTGCATAATAGTTTTTTTCTGAGTTATATATACAGAAATATCCCACATATCCACGTTATCATTCACTGCAGCACAAAACTGCAGCTAGTGATTAATCAAATTATTAATTTTAATTCTGCTCACGATTAATTGATTAATCGTACAAATAATTCTCATATTTTGCTGATTTTTCATTTAACCATGCCACCCTTTTTTTTAACAGTATTAGAAATGCATAAAAATACAAATGACTAATTAAATTTCTGTTTAGAATAAGAAAATAAACATGTTGCTGTCTAAAATGTAATTACAGCATTTCTTTAGTAAACGCTTGATCAGTTTTAGCGAAGGATGCATCTGCAGATAAAAAAGTACTTCTAATACCAACATGTGGAAAGTTAAGCCCTTTCTTCTTGACGTAGTATTTGTACAGTGCAGGAATAATCTGATGAATATCTTCTGGATTAACAGATTAATAATTCGCAAAATTTTACTGAATCTGAACTGGATGAAGCTAAAATGCCTCGTTAGGTTATAGCTGTGTTTTCACAAAGTTCTCTGTCCAGTCTGAATACTTCAGTTAGCGATTAATTGATTACTGAATTAATTGACAATTAATCCAGTTAGCAATTAATCAGAATCAATTGTTTTACAATGGTATGGAGTTGACAGCTGCTGAAACATTTCTGATTTTGATTTTTGTTCACTTCCACCTGAATTTTCTCGACTTTTGCGACGATTAAACTTTTTGAGTTTTGTGTTTTTGATTTCTTGAAAGTCACCCTGTGGATAAACTCTTCCTGACATGCTTTTGTGGCATTTTTCCCCTTACAGTGAGTGATTAGCTGCATTCCTCCATCTCATTACCCAATAGGCATGCAGGGGCAAGCAGACGTTCCTGGTTTGTAACCCCTCTCACCGTGTACATGCTCCCTGAGACGGGATCTGAGCCTTTGTTTGGTCACAGTTTGCTTGAGCAGGCGGAGGTGTGACCTCCAGCCTATTTTGTCTCAGCTTCTGTCCCTCCCTCTAATCCTGCTTATCAACAGAGCTGTGTGCATCAGGGGCAGCCACACTGACACACATGGTGCTGCCTGGGTTCACATCAAACACAAAAATCACGATTTAAATTATTTTACTCATCAATCATTCAAACAATTAATCAGAAAAAAATTGGCACATTCTGCAAATTTTTTATTTAATCACTTAAGTTTTTCATACAACATTATAAATGCATAAAAAACACACATTTCCTTTTATAGATTAAAAAATTAACATCTTATTGTCTAATATGCAATAACATATTAATTTAGAGAATGCTTCATCATTTATGGATTAATTGACAATATTTTTGCATTAACCAATTAACTTAAAAGGAGATTTTACAGAATTTGATCCAGGTGAAGCTTCAGGCATTTTTTTTTTAAATAAATATGTTCCAAGTAGATCAGGTTTACCAAAATGTTTTCTGTCTAGTAGATAAATAGAAATTTCTAAATATTTTGGTATTTTACTAAATATTTACCCAGATGTTTAACTTTTATTTGTGAATAAAGTATGTTGTCAGTTCACCAGATTTGCTAAATGAATAAATAGTATATGCCAGATATTTATTCGATATGTTACTAAGTATCTACACAGATATTAGTAAAGTTATACTTTGTGAACAAACTAAAAATGTTACTACTCTCTGTTGATATCAAACTGTCTATTTTTTGAGTCTTTATACTTCAGTTAACAATTAACCAATTACCAAATTTGATGTTGATTAATTAAATAATCGATTAACCGTTTGGATGAATACCTTTATTGTGGAAATTTAAACCCTTCATCCTTTCTACTCTCCATCTCTCACAGCTGATGTAGTAGTTTCCCTGTTTTAACGTTTGTGGTCACTGTGAATAAAACATACTGGTCGCCGTCTCAGATTAAATAAGTTTGGGTGAGTTCTCAGAATAGATCAGCCCTCTTGAGTCAGACAGGGGGAAAAATGGCCTCTGTGTTGCATTTCCTCCTCGTCTTCGTGGAGCGGTGTGCTCTTGCTCCCCTTTGTGGAGTTTTCTTACAGTGCAGCCTCTTCTATCCCGACAGTTCGGCTCTGCTGCTGCGTTTCACCCATCGCTAACCTCATCCGCGTAGCTTTGTCACAGGGGGAAATCCTGGCAAACCTTTCTCTGTAATAATGACTCAAGCCGATGCGCACCCTGGAAATACCCCCGTTTTCACTCTGATCTGGAAGTTCGAGTTTAATCATCCTTGCAGCATCCTTTCTGCAATAAAATATATTTGTTTTTCTTGTGTTTTTCTGTGTTTTCAGGCCTTGTGGATGCACTTAGATGTCTGCAATGACTGCTGTGGCTGGCATGCCTCAGTGTTTCGGACTCCCTTTCTCTGGACTCAGTAGGACAAGAACTGATCAGCAGAGAACGTCATGAGCATAGTCATCCCAGTAGGGGTGGACACAGCAGACACCTCATACCTGGACATGGCTGCAGGCTCAGAGTGAGTAAACGCAACAGAATCTGCTCTGTGTTTGTGGAAATGGCACTGAAACTTCATCTTCGCTTCACACAAAACGATCAATTCAAAATCAGAAGTCCTTGATTTATCCCAGAGACAAACTAAACCTTCTCATAACTCGCATCATTCAAGTTCTTCAAGAGAAGAAGAATTTCCAGTAGCAGTCAGTTTTGCAGTGGCTCTGAAGAGGCCTCTGGCTGAAGTCTCACAGTCTCATGCTGAGAAACTTTCATAGTGGTGATTAATCAGATAGAAAACATTTTCTCATTCTGCAAATTTTTATTTAACCAATTTTCTATTATAACATAAGACAGAAATTCAAATAGGCAAATGATTCAGTTCCTTTTTTGTAGACAAGAAAATATATCTTTACTTAATAAAATGCAAAAACATATTTTTAATAACATGTGAATAGCTCAGCCCTGTTTGCAGTATATAACATCAATATAGGCTGAACTGTTTATTCTTTTGGATTAACAAAAAAATTAAAGATTAATTACAATTAATCTGATTAATTAATTCAATTGTACTGTATAGAACTGACTTAGTTACTGATCTGAGTGAGTTGTTCTTTCAGCATATGGTCTTTTTTTTTTCCAGTTAACTATTAATAGATTACTTCATTAGTTGACAATTCTTTCAGTCATCGATTCATGTCGATTAATCATTTCATCTAGTTATTTTATCTCCTTTTTTACCTTCATAGCCTCTCAGTTGCTGTATATTGAATAAAGCAGGACCTTGCTGCTGTTTGCTGAAACGATCGGGTCGTTTTTGCCATTATTTGGTTGTTCCAGCTCCAATCGTGACCCGTCTGCTTCTCGTCCTCGGCTCTAACGTGACGTTTGCCCGTGTGAGGGCTGCGAGCTCAAGTCAGTGAAGCAGAAATGCTGCATGGCGCCATGGCAACTTGCCGTTGCCCCCCCCCCCCCCCTTCGTGTTTCCTTATAGTCTCGTCAAGGACATCGCCGTAGCCTTTTCTGGTTAAATAAATGAAGCAAGACGTTGGTGTGTGACTAAAGAAAAACACGTCATCTGCTCACAGAGGGAGTCCTGCCTCTTTAAGGGACGGGAAGCCCTCCCCTTCGCTTTCCTGGGTGCTGTTGCTGTGACAGCTTGAGTTGCCATGGTTTCTGCCCCCTCCCTCCCTTGTTGCACTGCGCAGGGCTTGTTGCCACAGTCATTGGCCTGAGTGACAGGTGGTCCTCACACAGATATGGCGTCTTACCCCCCCTTCCCCTCCCTCCTCATCTCTGCAGAGCCCTGCTGTCACCAGGGGTTAGAGAAAGCCCCTCCGCTCACTTCTTTGTCTGGCCGCTCGCTGCAAATTCATTCAACAGCAGATAACTGGCTTTAGATGGGGGGGTTCATACCGACCAGAGAGACGGACTAAGCTGGATATACATCGACTATTCAGAGCGAGCCAGCTGGGTCTAGCTACTCACCGGAGAAACAGCGTCACGTCCTTTAAACGTCCCCCCCCCACACCCACCCCAAAGGCTGCAGCAGCACGAGCAGCTGCGGGCTAATGCAGCCTGTGTGTCCAAATCGACACGGAGCCCAGCGTGCGCGCACTCGCCGCCGGAGTACGTAATGTTGCCATAGCAGCAAGCGGTGTCTCTTCAGGAGTCTTTCTTCTGCTGCTGATTTCTGCATGTCTTCTTCTGCGTGTCCTTTCTGCCTCTTCTTTGCCCTTTGTAGGAAATGTTGACATAATATATCAATTAATCATGATTAATTGTTTCAACCTACTGAAGTTACAAAGTCATCAAAATAAAAACATAATTCAGTCATTTTTTAAAAAAGAAAATAAACATTTAGCCTATTATGCAATAACATTCTTTTAGTGTATGATTGGTTATTTGTAGCAAAGGATGCATCTGCAATTAAATATTTATAACATCGACAAGTTGATAAATTTAAATGTCATGCGTTTCGCCTTTATGTTATTCCTCTGTAATTCCTGCTCTCTCTCTGAAAGCCTTAATAGAAGCAGCCATGTAGGAAATTGTATTTCCTATTATCTCACTCTGTCACCACGTCCTCACCGAAAAGGGTTGCAGGAAAAAGACCAGATTTTAGGGTTTTATCTGATCATATGTCCTTTCTGTACTTCACTAATTTGACTTTTTTTTATTGTTTACCCCACTATATTAACATATTTTAATAAAAATCCTCATTTGATGGCTTAAAAGAAAACATTTTATCCTCATGTGAGGGAAAAACACAATAACAAAGCTCATTTGTTTGGAAAAGAGGTCATGACAGACAAGTTGGACCAGATTTCATAATCAAAGATCTTAAGCAAACATTACTGCAAGCAACTACATTAAAGGTTGAATACTTCACCTTGTTTTATATCATTCTTGAGATGTCGTACACCCAAACTATTATTTTTGTATGATATTTAAAACATTCTCTTTGCTAGTGCTGGTGCATATTTTAGGCTGTAGACTTTTTTGGGGGGAGAAAACTTGCATCCACACCCAATTTATAGTCTTGAAGGTTATATCCTCATTCACAGGATAACAGAGAAAACATTCATTTCAACCAGGATGTGCAAACTTTTATTAACAGTCAAAATTATTTGTCAGATTTTTTGGAGGAACAGGATTTTAGATCCAAAACTTCAAATGGTTTCTGCATTTTTTCCTTGTTAAATGATAGGCAACCAGTTTGCTTATTGTATCTTATTGTACTGATTTTGAATGAAGAAATATTTGGTCTGTTCTCAGGAATGAAAACAGGATCGTTTGAAAACACTTTCTGTGTTTAGCCTAGTTTTAAAACAGCAATTTGTGCACTTTAGAACAAAGTATTGAGTAAATGTGACTCTATTTACCGTGAAAACAGAAGGAAACCAGAAAACTTTGAAAAGATCATCACTTTTTTGTTACGGCTATCATTTTTGTAAGTAGTTTTTAATAGAAGAATTTAAGTTTTGTATTAATTTATTTTTGGGGGGGGGTCGCATAAAATCTGTCCTTGGTTTAAATCAACATTCTTGATTTACCCTACTTACAGCTGGAACAATTAATCATGATTAGTCTTTTTTTTTTTAATAACCGGGAACTAATTCAGTGATTGATTAATCGTTAACTTGTGTACAGAGATGAAAAATAAGCTATTTGTTGAAAAGACAACATTCAAAGCAATAATTAAGTGAAAATTGTGCTAAATACATGTACAATTTGTATTAAGTATGGGTTCAAATAATTGTGATTAATCGTTTTTTGAATTGTCAGCTAATTTAGCGTTTGGTTAATTAACGGGAGTAAACAGACTCGAAAAAAACAACATTCAGAGCAATAATTAAGTCAAAACTCTACAAAACATATATATAAAATTTGGGCTGAAACAATTAGTCATGATCGATGAAACAATTGATTGTTTACTAGTGTACACAAACTGAAATTGGACTTTTTCTGAAACATATTCAGATATTAATCAAAACCTGCGCAAAAAATATATATTTTGCACTCAATATAAAAACACTTTTGTCTGTTGTACCAAAACATCACAAGAAATTCTATATTGCTGCATTTTATGCTATAAAATGTTTATTTTCTTATTTTAAAAATGAGTTTAGTTATGCTATTTGTCTACTAATGTATTTCTAATTTTACATAAGAAGTATATAAGTAGTTAAATGAAAAATATGTAGAATGTTCCAAGTTTTTACCCAAGTAATCGTTTAGTAAAGTAACGGTTTGTTCCTACTTCCTCTGAGCATAAAAATAAAACTGAAGCTGCGTTTTCCACCCAATAAACTCTTTAATTATGCTAAACAATTTTTCTTCAGATTAATCATTAACATGAAGCTTCCTTTGGTTTAAATGAAACCGACTTGCACTTGCAGCGTGTGTAATCCGGCAGTTGATCTGTTCTGTGTACACACCCCTCGGCCCGGCGCCGCCTCCAGACCTCATGCTTGCTCGTACGTTTTCACTTTGACAGCGACGAGCCGAGCAGTAATACTCACAGGAAGTGTTACACAGCTCGATCGGCGTGCAAGAGCGGCAGAACGGGCCGAGAAGGGCTCACACAGGTACCGTAGAACTGCATTAGCTCGGGAATTACGGGTCAAGGAGGCCGGGTTGAACTTTTGAGTCGCTGCTTGACTCTTTCCTGGTTGTAAAGTCGTTTATCTCGAGCCGTTCCCACGTAGACATGCCTGTTGGAGTTTTATCCTGCCTGCCAGGCTCTGTTTTTTGTGTATTAGAGCTTCTTTAAGTGTCATGAGACAGAGCAGCAGAGAAAATATGCTCATCAGCTGCCACACATACTCTGCGGTGTTTATTTTCCCACAGATCGGAGCGAATTCTCTACAAAACTCAAGTGTGTTTTTACTTGACTAAACATGTTGATCTTTTATGAGCGCTGCTCCTCCTCATGTTTTCCTCGTTTTCTCTTTTGTTTTCTCCTCTTCGTACCTCACCATGTTGTCGCACCATCCATTTTTTTTTCTCTCTTTTTCTGCCAGTTCCACTTTCCTCTTTTTCTATTAGCTTCCCTGCAGCAACTGAAGACCAGATCAAAACCATCAAAATAAGGGCTGGTTAGCTTAAGGAACTGGTTTCCTCGGCTTGGGGAAAGCTGTTCTACTGGTTAGACGTGAATCGCTTTGAAACAGAGTTATGCTTTTGTTGTTGCCTTCCTTGTACATGAGTTTGAAGATAGATTTGTGGCTTGTTTCTGCATTTTTTGCCGCTTTATTTTCATGACATATTGAAGCATGGCAGTCCAAAGTGAGGCTCGGGGGCCATTTGTGGCCCTTGAGATGATTCTCTGTGGTCCTTGTATGCAATTCAGAAATAGCACGAGTTTATTTCACCATATGCTTAAAACAAATGGAAGTAAAGCGATGCAGATAAATTAAACTTAAACACAAATTAATCTAATTTTTTGTTTCAATTTAATCGTCTTAACAGCAAAAACATTTTGTGACTTTTGCTCAAAAGTAGAAATGTGGCACAATGACAAGAGGGTTTTAAAAAGAAAGAGGGCTGTTGCAATAAATCAGTCAATCGCATGTAAAATTAAAACATTTGGTTGAAAAAATTTCACACAAATAGAAACCGTTTTCCTCTTTACTACCAGAAACTGGGTGACAAAAGTCAGAAATCTAGTGTTTTGGTCTCAATTCCTCTTTTTGAAGGACAATTTCGTTTAGAGACTTCAAAATTAATTTTGTTTTATGTTGTATATTTAAAATGTCTTCCGATTCCAGTGTTAAATGTTCATCATAATTTAAAGTTAGATTTTTGATTTTTGCACTGCTAAACCTTTACATTACTTAAAATACTTGAGGCCAGCAGTATTTACTTACCTAAAAACAACAACACAAACGTTTATCACAGTAACTTCTAGCCTAGTTCTATCATGTTACTGCAGCCTGTAAATTGTTTTACAATAGAATAATAAAAAGATGAATGAAAAAACGTATAGCTACTTTTAACTGATTGCTAAAAGCTGAAAGAATAATTTCCTGCCAGCTTTACCTTCCTGATTGTGCAACACACCTGCTCATCAAACATATTGTTGCGATTTCACATTCATTGGCCCATTTTTCTGTGAATAACGTTTCCGTTTCTCGCCAGCAGACCAGAATCAGTGGAGGCCAGCCCCGTGGTGGTAGAAAAGTCCAGCTACCCACACCAGATTTACAGCAGCTCTTCTCACCATTCCCACAGTTACATCGGCCTGCCTTACGCTGTGAGTACATCGCTCTGATTTCATTATTAGTAATGAGACCTGTCTCTGCACACAGATAAAGACTCGAAAGAGTCCAGCTCCTGTTGTTTCATCCGATACTTGATAATATGAAGACTGATAGATGGAACAAAGAAATTAGATTTGTTTCTCTGGAAGAAAATTTAACTGATTTCTACATTAAAAATCTTCTTTATTTTAATTTTAAGCATTCATGTCTTAAATTTACCCATATTACACTGCAAAAAAACACAAAATATGACCAGGTTTTAATATAGTTTTTTATGCAAATGACTTAATACCAATCAAAACTAACCTTACAAGAAGACACAGGAGATTTTAAGTCACTAATTCCTTAATTTTGTTTAAAAAAAACGACTATTTCCACTAATAATAAGACATTTTTCCATAAGTGAAATAATCTACCACTGGAGTAGTTTTTTTTTCTCCCAACAATGTAAAGGGATTATTGACTTAAAACAAGCGAAAAGTTAGTTTGTTAGTTTGTGTCTTTTTTCTAGTGCATAAATATATTCACAGTTGAAACTAGAATTGTGTTTTTGCAGTGTATATGTTCCTTCAGCCTTTCCTTCCTCCGTCAGTGTTTATTTCTTCAATTTTAGACAGTCTGCATTGGTTTGGTTTGTCGTTTTTGCACAGGAATGTTATGAAGCTGTGACAAAAGCAAAGCATTCTGAAAAGCAATAAACTCTGTAAAAAACAACTTTTAAAGTTTTTGTTTCATAGCTACTGATACATTTTGCTCCTAAAATTGAAAATTTCTCTCTGAAAAATGAAAATCAGAATCCAAACATTTAAATCATCATATTTCTAAAAAAAAAAAAAGTATAAAATTAAATCAGAAAACCTACTTTAGTGAGAACAAGGGGGTTACTAAAAGATTGGGTCATGTGAACTTAATTAACTCTGCATTTTATTTGGCTTTCTACTCCAATCAATCATGAAAACAATGTAATCATTAGAAACAAAAGCTCTTATTTCTGCAGAGACTGTTCTAGTTGCTGCAGCTTTGATCTGATCTCAGTTTGAACATGTTGTTCTTTAATGCTGTTTGAATTAAAACAGTGGAAGAAACTGTAGGAAAGCTAAAGGACGTGTCAGCATCTCCATCCCCTTTCATAGGAATACAGAGGAGGCTAGCTAGCGTTAGCCCGCTCCTCATGCAAAGATCTTCAGTAGAAGACAGATGCTGATACTGAACACTTTGTGGCTGTTTTGAGTCTTTCTGAGAACAGAGCAGTGTCTTCAAATCTTAAGATAAAAACACTTTTTATAAATTTTATATTACTTAGTGTTATATTTTTATTTACCAATATTTAACGCTTTGGATGGAGTAACTGTCAGTATACAAGCAATTTCTCTTTGGGGATCAATAAAGTGTATTCCATCTGTATTTATTTGGATGCTCATCCTTTGCATTCTCTGTGTATCTTTTTATTTTCAGGACCATAATTATGGGGCGCGGCCCCCACCGACGCCGCCAGCCTCCCCCCCGCCCTCCATGTTGATCCGACAGGGAGAGGTGGTTCCCTTCGGTTCCGGGCCCCAAGATGAAGCGTCCCGGGGCACAACGCTCAGCACTTCTGAAGACAGCTACGGGACCGACATCACCCGATGCATCTGTGGCTTCACCCACGACGACGGCTACATGATCTGCTGTGACAAGTGCAGGTAAAAATGATTCAACTTTAAAGGCGCTAAAAATGGAGATAAAGTTTATAAATTCATTGTTCTGTTTTTTTTAGTGCCTGGCAGCACATAGACTGCATGGGCATCGACAGGCAGAACATTCCTGAGACCTACTTGTGCGAACGGTGCCAACCGCGACATCTGGACCGAGAGAGGGCCATCCTGCTTCAGACCAGGAAGAGAGAGTGTTTATCTGGTGAGAATCACTGTGAAAGACATGAAAATGATGAGTCACTGCCTGAAACCGTTGCTGTTCTGAAAGCTGGGTTCAACTTGTGACGTGAGACGTTTTCTCCGAGAGTCCAAAGATGCTCTGTTCTGCTTTTCTGGCTTCCTTGCTGCAGTAAACGGCCAACAAAATTAATTTTCCAAGCCTGATTTTAGCCCACAGTGACACCTGCTGGAAAAGCATCAAACTACATCTTCGTAACTCATTGTCTGGCAAGCAGCTTGTTCTATTATTGCAAACCAACTGGCTTGTATTTTGCCTGCAGCAGCTGCAGCTTTTTATAGCTCAGTATGTTTGTAACTTCTCTGCTTGCTCAGATGGGGACACGAGCGCGACGGAGAGCGGAGATGAGGTTCCACTAGAGCTGTATTCCACCTTCCAGCACACACCCACCACCATCACGCTGACAACAGGCCGCCTTGGCAACAAACAGACCGACAAGAAGCGCAAAAAGAGCGGTGACAAAGACCCGCCGGCCTCTTCTGCCCGCGCCAAGAAGGTCAACTTTCACTTGTTCTGCTACAAAAAGCAGATTTTGATTCAAAGTATTTGAAACTTATTTTAACTCTGAACCTGATTGGTTTCTTTGTAGGCCTTCAGAGAGGGGTCCAGAAAATCCTCTAGAGTGAAGGTAAACACACAAAAAACACAAATATTATTCTTCTAAGAGAACGATTACTCGATTAATCAATTATTCTGACAATCGATTCATCATTTTAAAAAATTGTTTTTTTTTTTTACTTGTGCAACAAAGTAGCATTCTTGTTGGCTTGATGATTTGTAGCAAAGGATGCATCTGCAAATGAAAGAATAGTTCTAACAACAATACAATGTAGGGCCAATCTACTGACTACGTTCTGGATCAAACGATTAATAGTGATATACAGAAGATCCTGAGCAGGAGATTATTTTTACAGAATTTAAAACAGATGAAACTAAAACTACACTTACCTTTAATAGTCTAGTTAGTGATTAATCAATTTACTAAATCAGTTGCTTGTGTTCACACAAAATGCAAAAACATGATTTAAACCAGGACTGCAACTAACGATTATTTTATTAAGCAATTATTCAAACGATTAATCAATTAATCAGATTAAATTTTTGACTAATTCTGCAGAATTAGTCAAATTAATCGATCCCCAGTAGAGTTGGTGATTACTTCAATAACCTTTTAACCATGAAAAATAATGATTAATCACAATTGATCGTTTCAGCTCTGCTGTATTAACCGTTGGTTTTCCCTCTCAGGGTGCTGCTCCCGACACGGAGCCAGCGGAGCATCCTTCTATGTGGGAGAGTAAAATCAAGACGTGGATGGAGCGTTACGAAGAGGCCAGCAGCAATCAGTACAGCGAGGATGTCCAGGTGCTGCTGCGCGTCAAAGAGCAAGGCGACGGCAAGAACCTGGCGTACAACACACACCCAGCCTCCTTCAAACCCCCAGTGGAGGTAGTCTGAAGTTCGTTCTGCTTGTTTTGGGTGACCGTCAGTCTCTCATTTTTTGCTGATGTCAGATTGCTTGTGTTGCTCAGAGTCAGGTTCAGAAGAACAAGAAGATCCTCAAAGCAGTGCGGGACTTGCCTCCAGACTCCCTCATCATCGAATACAGGGGGAAGTTCATGCTTCGGCAGCAGTTTGAGGCCAACGGTTACTTCTTCAAGAGGTCGGGGAATCCTCATTGTTTTGAGTTAACATGTGGAGTTCGCTGCTTTGCAAAGCTGTGCATAACCCATTAAATCAGGGGTGTCAGCATCCAGTCCTCGAGGGCCGGTGTCCTGCAACGTTTAGATGTGCCTCTGCTGCACCACAATGAATACAATAATTAGGCGATTAGCAAGGCTATGGAGAACTGATCTACACAAGGAGGAGGTAATTAAGCCATTTCATTCCTGTATTTTGTTCCTGTGGCACATCTAAAAACTGCAGGACAGTGGCCTAGAGGACTGGAGTTTGACACCCCTGCTTTAAATTTTCTTAGATACCACAAACTCTAAGTAACAATCCTAATAAAATGCATAATTTCAGGTTCTGACTCAAATTGAGGGTGTGAATACGTTTGCAAAGCCTTTTACGTGAATTACTCTTCTGGATGTTTATTTGTTTTTTATTTTCCTCCGCAGGCCTTACCCGTTTGTTTTATTCTACTCAAAATTTGACGGAGTGGAGATGTGTGTGGATGCTCGCAGCTTTGGTAACGAAGCGCGTTTCATCCGTCGTTCCTGCACCCCCAACTCCGAGGTACGTCCAGCAGATGGTTGAATATTTCACCAAAGTCTTTCACATGTGGATACAAATTTAGCAGGAGCTAAAGCTAAGCCGCTAAACGAATAGGTAACAGCAAAGTTGCCAGCTTTGATTTTGCTTCGTATTATTTATTCCAAAATTTGAAAAATATCCATCATCCTGAAATTCAAGTGAAAAATAAAAACCACTATATCCAACATGATTATTTTTTACAGTGATATGCTGCAGTAACATCTTAATGAGTAAATCTGTCTCTTATCATTTATTTGTCCTGTTGCTTTAATAAATCTTCCAGGTGCGGCATGTCATTGAGGACGGCATGCTCCATTTATACATCTACTCCCTGAGGCCGATCTCCAAAGGCACGGAAATCACAATCGGCTTTGATTTCGATTATGGCAGCTGGTGAGTGTAGAAAATAATCAAAAACAGCAGAAAAGGTGATTTTAATCTTAACCTTTGTCATCTTTCTTCTTCTTTTTCCAGTAAATACAAGGTAGATTGTGCCTGTGTGAAGGGGAACCAGGAGTGCCCGGTGCTGAAGCACAACCAGGAGCCCACCGAGAACCTGAGCGCCGGCGGGAGACGCAGGGGCAGCCGCAAGGACAAGGAGTTGGTTCGAGACGACCCGGGTCAGAACCAGAACGTGGCTCTGGATGGCGAGGGGAAGGGAAAGAGTTTAGGAGACGGGAAGCAGAGGAAACTCTCCCCACTGCGGCTCTCCATCTCAAACAACCAGGCAAGTTCAAACGACAGAATCCGTGTTTCCTTCTCACCGCCACGACCCGCTCTTCACGTTTCCAGGGTTCGTAAGACTCCTGGAAATCCTGGAAGGTGCTTGAGTTTTGTTTAGGTGTTTTCAAGGTGTGGAAAGTGCTTGATATTCAGACTGTAGCCTAACATTTGATTAAAAGATGAAATTTACCAGCTATTTTCAGACACTTGATTTAACTGTCTGAAATTAAATCAGGCTAAGCTTGTTTAAATTCCAGATTTATTTATTTATTGTATTTTAAACATTTAATTTGACCAGGAATGTAATTCATTTTAACAATTTGTTTGGATTCTTTCTATTTTAATTAACATGTTATTTGACTGATTGTATTATATTTCATACATTAATTGTCGAAGAAATTCATGTTTTAGCTTAAATTTGGAAAACTTTGCAAATAGTTGAAACCAGACATTTAAAGATAATAAACATTTACACTATTTTTTTCTAGGTATCTGAAGTGAAATCAGATTAAACTTTTCTTGTTCAAGTTACTGAGAATCACCAAAATTATTTCTGTTTGCTAAATGTCAGAGCTTGACGAGAATGTTTTCAGGTGTATAAGGCGAGTGTGAAAGACATTTTCATCTCTTCCTTGTTGTAAAACAAAAAATTATATTACAAAACATATTAATAACAGTCATAAATTATTGACAATATATGTACATGTGATGCTTTTGAAACTTACCTTGAAAATGCTTGAAAGGTCTTTGAATTTTGTTCTTTTTAACCAGCGTTCTTTGCACGTATTGTTTTTTTTAATTGTCGTTGCTCATCATGTACTGTTTTCCCTTGTTTTCCCATCATCCCTTTATGCATTCACGTGATCCTAATTTAAAGTCTTCACACATAATGATTCATTCAGGATTATTTACCAGGCTAAGGTTGTTTTTAAAACACAATTCTTGATGAATGAAGAAAGAAAAGTGCATAAAAGGCCCTAAAAAATCAACAAATTGAAGAAATGTCCTCCTTTACACCCTCTCCTCAGCCTTTCCCTGTCTCCCTCTAGTCTGTAGTCGGGCTGAATTGTCAGCCATGATGAGAAAAAAAATGGCCATACACGGCTCTCCCCTCCTCTTACAGGATCCTGAGTTATTTGAGGATCTAGAAGACAAAACCTCCGTTAGCAATGAAGTAGAGATGGAGTCAGAGGAGCAGATTGCAGAGAGGAGGAGGAAGATGGTAAGTGTGCAAAGTGAGGGACTTGAGCTTCTTTTGCTATGCAGCCGCCCAGCAGAGAGTAAAAAATACAAGTAATGGTGATAAAAACCAAACTGTCCCCTGATGCTGCTCCCTGTCTGCTGAGGGCTTTTGGACGGGAGCCGCGTTCCTGCTGTAGTCTAAAACTCAGACGTTTACACCAACGCAGCTCTGCATTTACACGTTTGCTTTGGTTTTTCATGGGTTTATTTGAACATTTTGTTTCCCAGGTGGAATAATGTGAAGAATAAGTGATTTATTCATTCCAACATTAGTCTTAAAATGTTTTGGTCACTAAATAAGTTTTACTCTGATTAACATTTCTTTTGGTCATTTTCGTCTCATCTGAGAGAAATTTGTATTGGAAGTTGAAGCAAGATTATAAGATGTTAAAATTCAGTTTTGCTGTTTATTTGGGATCATTACCCAACGTTCAAATTCAAAAATACTTTATTAATCCCAATGGGAAATTAAATAGTAAAGTTTTATTATTAAATTAAATTTAAATTTTATCTGTATTTAATTTTACTATTTTAATTAAATAATTATGTATATGAATTAGTGGTGAAACTGAAGAATTTACCCTCAGCTCGATTCCACCACTACCGTGCTAGCTAAAATATTTGTGGCAAAAATAGCTAGAGCATGTTGCTTTTAGAGTAGTAAATATTGAAACAGAATGGTTCAAATGAATCCATTAAAAGCCAAAATGGAAGACCTTGATGTTGCATTTGTGTAACCTTCTGACTCCAACTGTAGCCTCCTCTTCATCACTCATCTCTACTACGTCGCCCACCACTATCGGCGCCTTTGTTGCTCTTCTGCTCATTATTTTGCCCTCCTTCAGCTTTGGCGTTTTTTTTTTTTTTTTTTTTTCTTGCAACACTGAAGCTTCAAGATTTATTTATTTTTTTTCCATATTTTTCTGACTGTTTCTTTTGAAACGGCACATAAACATTATTTTCCCATCTTTCATTGGAGAGGTTCCTAAGTGGATTACAGCTTCATCGCCATCTAAAATGGCCTGTCGCGATATCAACCACTCCCTGCACTTGCTGCCAAATGGCCTCATGTCCCTGAAAGATGGGGATCTCTCACACACACACACACACCCGCTGGAAATTACCCTGCAGTCAGCTTCATTTCACACAGTGGATCTAAGGTGTAAAATGCTGACTCATCTTTGGGCAACATTCAGTTCTGCTAATCGGGGAAAGAGATGGATAGATTAAAGGTGAAGGAGGGAGGATGACTTTAGCATAACCAATGAGCTGCTGTCTGTGGACAGAGCTGCAACTAACAGGCTTGCATTCACACACAATCAGTAACTACTGTAGAAGATGCTAGTGGCTATAGCAAAACACAGTACTGCTTATGTAGCCACTACTGGTTTAAGAAGCATTAGTTGGTGCAATTCAGGGAGTACTGATATGGCATGATAGTAATAACATTAGTATTTTAGTTAATTTTTAAATAGAAGGTAACCTACAGAATTAGGTAAGGCAATGCTAGTTCAGATGCTATTGACAGGTAATTGTGGCGTATACATTATAGGATTGCTCAACTTCATGCGTCGACTAGTTGCTGTGATGTCATAGAAACCGAAGACAAATTGCCTCACAGGCTTGATTAGCTATTTTTACAGCAGATGTTGACAAAAGACCGCTTGGATAAAAGTCTAGCTAGCCCACATGTTGGTGACGGCAGTTTAGCCAAGCCTAGCATTTGTCATTTCGCATATTCACCGCTGTTTACATACAAAATGGTGCAAGGCAATGTTGGTCATCATAATAGTAATAACCCTCCTGCTAATGTTGGCATTTTAGCTAACCTTAGTTTTAGGTTATTTTAGCAAATGCGTTACTGTTTGCATACTGGATAGTCAACATAATATATGTATTATATTAGCTGTCATGCTAATATTAGCATTTTAGCCAATTCAGATATAAAAGCTAAACGTAATATACTGGATGGAGTAAATCACTGTTGATCAATTTGATAGTATTAGCCTTTGCTAATGATAACCTACATGCTTCTGAACGAAGTAAGGTAATGTTTGCCAACTTGCTAGTGTTAGCCCACAGGCTATGAACAGCAGTTTAGCTAACCTTAGTAGTGTATACACTATTTGTATACTATGTGGTGTAAGTCAATGTCGGTCAACATGCTAGTAAAAGCCTTAACGTTAGCATAATTTTTTTTATAAAAGCTAATCTTGACTTATTGAATGGAGAAAGGATGCACTACTGTTGGTCAAAATGCTAGTAATAGCATTTATGATAATGTTAGCATGTTAGATAATTTTTGCTATAAAAGCAAATGTAACCTTTTGAGTAAAATTACATAGTATTAGCTAACTTGCTAGTGATAACCCACATGCTATTAGCAGCATTTAGCTCACTTTATGCACTACTGTTTACATAGTAGATGGCATAAGTCACATAGTCAACATCATAGCAATAGCCCTCATGCTGAAGTTAGTATTTTAATTAATAGTGGTGGGTTGATATGGACTCAGTTCTCAGCATAATAGTTTATGGTGCTTAAGTGATGAAAGTGAAGCTAAAATGTCTTATTGCTAATACATCCATAAAACCATGAAACTGCTATGAAGTAAAACCTGCCACATGTCTAATCCTGCAGTGCACATGTTATTTTTAGATGTGCTGTTATTCACATGCAAATGTTGACCCACAACCACTCCATTCAGTCATATTTTCAAGTATTTTCATATTTATTGGCACTCACTCTATCTCGGAATTCCCATCAGTTATAGCTTACCAACATGAATAACATTCCTGTAATATTTTCCGCCTGATAAGAATAGACAACAGTAACCCTTCTATAACTGGCAGATCTGTTCTTTAAGCATTTTCCATCAGTGGAGCAACACTTGAGCTTTTCCTTTGACAATTGAAAGAATTGGAGGATCTCTGGCAACCAAGTGTACTTTAGCGTATGTCAATCAGTAGATTTGGTCCCAATTACCATGACAAAAACAGACGGAAAACAGAAAGCTTGGAAAAGATGACCACTTTGTGTTGCAACTATGATTTAAGTAAATTTTAATTTAAAAGTTAGAAATTTCTCTTTATTCATTTGAATTGTGGTGTGAGGCCGCACAAAATCAGTCCAGGGGACCAAAAATGTCCCCCGAACTCCAGTTTGACACCGTTGGTTTAAAATCAGCCCAGTGTGAATGGCATGTTTCCCAATTTGGAAGAGTATTTGGCAAAAAAACACATTTACACCTTTAAAATCACTAGTCAAATTTGAATTAAAAATTGAGATTTTTGGAAGTAGATTTTAATTTAAAAATTGTATTTTTCTTTTTCTTTAATGTATTCTTTAATGTATTCTTAATTATGTTCAATTTTGGCCTCTGAAATTAGTCCACCGTCCAAAATATGGCCCTCATATCCCACCTTGAACACCACTGATCTAAAAGATTAGATGCTTATTTAAACCAGGAGCTTCAGGTTTAATTTTCCACACCAAAATTAGTCTAATTGAAATAAAAAACTGAGAATTTTAAATTAAAACTGCACATTTTTAGGCTCTTATGCAGCACATGAGCGCTTAGCGACGGTTAGCATTCCTTCAGGGTACCTGGGGTGTCTTTGGCACCCAGATTAAATGTATTTTCAGCCAGACGTGGCGAGCGTTTGTGGAGAGCGTTGCTTCTCTAAACTGGGCTGTCTCTTCATTAAACATTCAGGCCAACCCAGCCGAGCAGTCCCATCTCCCTGTCGGGGCGGCTTCAAGCTGGAACGGGCCAAAACTGAAAGAGGTAAACTTGACCCCATATATAGCCAACATCATTCCAGGGTTCAGCTCCACCAGATCGGCTCGTGGCGAACTAACCCCATCTGTTTGGTGGCGTGGATCTTTCTCTAAATGGTGGAGGCGGTTTCCATGTGAAGCGCTCAGCGGGACGTTTTGAACAATCTGGAGCCACTTTTTCACACCGCTTTTCCTGCTTTTGGGTTTCTTTATTTGCCTCTATCGCAAACCTTTTCCCTCCCTCCCAACTATCTGCATTTGCATCTCTGCGCTTCCTTAAGTCGCTTTTGCTGTGTTAACCCTTTGTGGCTTCAGGGGTTGTTAGATGCTAATGACTGCGCCGTTTTCCTCCCAAACCCCGCGCCCGAATCACCGCAGACTCGAGAGGAGCGGAAGATGGAGGCCATCCTGCAAGCCTTCGCCAGGATGGAGAAGCGGGAGAAACGCAGGGAGCAGGCGCTGGAGCGAATAGGCAGCGTGAAGACGGAAGTGGGCGGCCGCAGCGATATCAAAGAGGAACCGCCGGCCACGCCAGAAACCGTCGATTCTCCGGCTGTCATGCAGGTAAGGACAAAGAAACAAAACAGAATAACTTCTCTAGAAATATCTTAAAAACTTGTTTCAGGGTTTGTACGGGGGTTTGAAATAATTTAAAACACTTTAAATTCAATTGATTGATTTCTAGTTGACGTTCATATTCAACAAAGTGCAATTTAATATTTGATTAAAAGTCTTAATTTACTGTTGAAACCAGATTTTTAACACCTAATTAATTTTTTTCCCTCACTGTGAAGTTAAATCAGATAAAACTTTTTTGTTTCAGGTTAGTTAGAGTCATCTAAATTATTTATATTTGCTATATTCCAGAAAACATAACAAAAATGTGTTTATTTTTTATGTTTTTATGAAGGAAGATTATTTTTAACACAATTTGTTTGGATTATTTAAGTTTATTGAATATTTATTATTCCTAAGGACTCAGTGACTTATTAATAATCTTATATTTTATATGTTAAACAACTTTTTTGAAATAGTTTTTTTATCTGATATCAATGCTCTGTTCTCAGACCAGTCAAGTAAAAGAGAGACATTTCAAAATATTTTGGTTTCTCTTTATCTTGGTGAAAGTGTACTAAGATATTTACACTAGAAACTAGACAAAAATACTTGGTAAAATTTTAGGTTTTTGCTGTAAAAATGCTTGAAAAGTGCCTGAATGAATCCCGCCGTTTGTTTCAGCCGCCTCTTGAAATAAAGGAGGAGCCCGGACTGAAGCCGGCCAAGGTGAAACCGTCCCGGAACAGGAAGAGCTTCTCCAGGAACCGGACTCACATCGGGCAGCAGCGGCGGCGCGCGCGCACCATCAGCACCTGCTCCGACCTGACGCCCAGCTCTCCAGCCGAACCCGTGGAGCTTCCAGCCACCGAAACGCCAGAAGGAGAGACGCCGGCGGCGCCAGAGCCTGAAGCAATCCCCTCCCACGTCCCAGAGAGCAGTCCTCCACACAGCAGCTCGCCGGCGCCGGACAGAACCCGCACCGGCAGCAAGAGCTACAAAACTAAAAAGGTCAGAAATGAGATCAGTCTATCAATTAATCAAATATAAAAAACTGGGAACTACTGCAAATTTTTCATTTAGAAATACACAAAATGCAAATAATAATTGTATTATTTTTAAAATAAATAAATAAAAATTGTATTGACTAAACTGCAATAACAAATCAATCTTCCAGTGAACATTTGATCATTTGTAGATTAATCGACTGATTTTTGCATTAATTGGATGGAAAGATTTACTTAAAAGGAGACTTTGATTTTTACAGAATTTGAACAAGGTGAAGTTAAAACTGGATAGAAAATATTTACAACATTTTATTCATCTTAAATGAAATATATATATGTATGTATGTATGTATATATACATAATACTCCAGTTAATAATTAAATAACTACAAATTAGGTGATGTTTATTTCAAGAATTGATTTATCATGATTAATTGTTTCATCCCTGATATTTATGTTTTAAATTTCCTTTAAATACTCCAGGTATTGATTCATTGATTACTAAATTAGTTAATGATATTTGAACAATCAGTTAATGACGATTAATTGTTTCTTTCATCTTGATTTCTTGAAGAAAAACCCTTCAAACAGCCAGATAATTCACCCCTCTGTCAAACTCTCATCCCCAGCACTTTGTGAGCGAGTGGGTGGGGGAGAAACAGCAGGACCGCGGCAGCGTCCGAACGCCTGAACCGGTTCCGGACCGGCCGCTGAGAATAAGCAGCGACCCGGAAGTACTCGCCACGCAGCTGAACGCCTTGCCAGGCATGACCTGCTCTCCGCAGGTGTACAGCACGCCCAAACACTACGTCCGCTTCTCGTCGCCGTTCCTGGCCAACCGCAGCCCGACCACGCCCGGCGTGCCCACCGGGAGGCGCCGCTCCAGGGAGCTGCCGGAAACGCCGCCGACCAGCGGCTCCTGTAAAAAGGTACCGGAGCCGGTTCTGAAGAACCTCCTGTCGGGGTTTAATGGCGTCATTTAACATTTTCAAATTGTTTTCATCTGACAGACCAATTCTAAACTTAATGTATGGGCAGAAAGTGGAAAGAAAACACTTTTGCTTTTTGCTAAATAAATTGTGGTTCCTTGAAAATTACTATCAATTTTCTAAAGTTGACATTGAATCTTTCAGCTTTCTGACTTGAACAGATCCTCCAGTAAAATCTTTGATATTTTGTAGCGGCTGCTATAGTTTTACTAATTTTATTTGATCTTTTCCTTCGGTGCAGCGGTGGTTGAAGCAGGCTCTGGAGGAGGAAGGCTCCACCAGCCCCGCCAGACGGCCCAGCCTTTTTCTGCCCGGCGACGGGCCGCTGAGCCCCTCCGTTAACGGAGACTCGGACAGTCCGCTGCTCTTCAACGGCACTTGCTCACTTCCAGGTGGCCATTTTGTTTATTTTTGACACTTTCTTGTTAGTTCTTCTGGAATATTCCAGTTTTTTACCATTTGATGGATAGATTTTAATTTAAAATTTGTAGATTTGTCCTAATTTATTTGATTTATTATTGAATTGTGGTCAGTTGGCCACATAACATCAGTGTAGGGGCCAAAAAGGGCCCCTGTTCCCTACTTTGAACATCCTCAATCTAAAAGATTCTTTATTTATTCAAAGAAGGACCTTCAGCTTTAACATGTTTTTTTATTTCCAACTAAATTATGTTTTTATTTATTTACAACCAGCTAAATCAGCCATTTTAAAACCGAAACCCAGACATGTGGATGTTTAGGAACTTGAGTGTTTCTGACCCGACCTTCTCGTTCCTCCAGAGTTGCCGACTCCCCTAAAGAAGCGACGGCTGAGCCCGCTGGACGCCTGCATATCGGAGAGCTCGACGCCGTACGGCTCGCCCTGCGCCACGCCGACCCGGGCGGACCACTCCGAGCCGACCGCGGCGCCCAGCCTTCTCGCCACCCCGCCCCGCCCCCGGACCGAAGAGCCCGGCGCGGAACCGGCCTCCGGCAATACCCCGACGCACGCACTTAACGCCCCTCCAGAGGTACGGCGGCACCGCCGAGAGCTTTGCCTATTCTGATTAAAAATGGTGGCTGAGTTTGTGTCTTGATCTGCAGACCGAGTCTTCAGAGGAAAACTCCCCAGAGGTCAGTCGGAAACCCTCCGTGCAAGAGGTGAGGCGCTTCGACTCAACGCTTTACTGCCTGCCCAGTCTGAGACGATTCCACCGTTTTTAAACTTTTTGTTGATTTTATGCATTTTTCAAACCTGAACAAGTTTGAAAAAAACATAAATGCATCTGCATGGCCGTGTCAGAGGTCATGTGACGTGTCAGAGGTCATGTGATGCTGATCGTCTCTATCCCTCGCAGGCTGATCGTCCTCCTTCGTTAGCGTCCTCTCCGTGTCTCCGAACTCCGGTCTCAGACGGAGCGTCTTCAGACGTCAAGCTTCCTGTCCCGGAGAGTCCTCAGCTTCCCGCTCCAGAGTCTTTGGACAGTGGAGAGGAGAGGACAGACGCCGCGCTCCCAGACGCCACCGTCGAGGCTGCTTCCTCTGCAGACGCCTGCCCTTCTTCCTCCTCCTCCTCCTCTTCCTCATACCCGGGCTGGATCAAAAGCCCAGACAGAGGCCTGGCCGGACAAGCTGGTCTGAACTTCTCCCCGGTCAACTCTAACCTTCGGGACCTCACCCCGTCTCACACGCTGGAGCCTCTGACGGCTCCTTTCAGGCCTGAGCCGCCGGCCTCCGGGACGCCGGCGGCAGGAACGGCGGCGCTCTCCAGCTCCCAACCGCCATTCAGCGAGGCGCAGGGGCAACTGTTCTACCCCTGCTCCGAAGAGGGCAGCTCACTCGTCTTCTCCCGGTCGCTGAACGGAGACAGCGAAGGAGGAGGGTCTGCACAGAACCCACCGCAGAGGAAGAAGGTCAGAGGTCACGTCTACTGTCTGCAATACAGAAATGCAAAAATGTTTGTAATTTCACCCAGATTGGGATTAATCCATCATTCATCATACATTTATTTATTCACCCATTTATCCATCCAACTGTCCTTGTCATCCTGCTGATCCTTCAGCAAGCGGCCAGTTAATGATTAATTGATTACTAAATAAGTGATCAGAATTGATTCATCACAATTAATCTGTTTAATCCTTTAATTTCTAATAGTTATGAGTTAAATTGTCTTAAATGCCTGAAATCTTTTGAAATTTGAGTTCGAACCAAACGCTGTCCCCTGCTGGTAGATTTGAGTCGAGCCTCCACTGACCGCGCTGCTCTGTTTTCCCAGGTTTCCTTGCTGGAATACAGGAAGCGGCAGCGAGAAGCTCGCCGCAGCGGCTCCAAGACGGAGTGCAGCTCTCCGGTTTCCACCGTGCTGCCGCTGGCCGTGGAGGCGTTCCCCGTGGCTCTGGAGCCCGCCAGCGAGCCGGCGCCGTGCAGCACCGCCGCCGTGAAGGAGCCTCAAGCCAGCGAGGAGGCCGAGGCGTCTGGAGAGAAGGAGGGCGGCGAAGGCCAGTGGTATGTTCCCTCTGTTTGGAGTCTGTGGCACTGGATGAGTTTTAGCTTCATATTTACTGAAACTGTTCCTGATGTTCATCAGGACATCGTCGACCTCAGTGGAGCAGGCCAGGGAGCGCGGCTACCACAGAGCACTGCTGCTCAGCAAAGATAAAGATGCAGGTACAGATACGTTATTAAAAAAACAATTTATTGCTGCAGCAATTTCTGAGATAATTTATCAAGCACCATAATTTTTCATTCACACGGTGTTAACTATCTAAGCATCTAATGCAGCCAGCGATTATTTTAGTAATCAGATTAAATTTTATTTGTAAAGCTCAATTAATTGAAGTTTATTTCAATGATTGATTAATCTGATTCATCGTTTCAGTCACAAAGTTTCTGTTTCTGTTGCATCAGATGGGGAGCCAGAAGGAGGCGACACGCCGGCACTACGAGACTGTGCATCTCCAGCCCTCCAGAAAACTCCAACCCACACCGTAAGATGCCGCCGGTTCTGGTTCTGATCCATAGATTGACTGAAGTTTGCCGTTAAAATAATAAACGTTTTCTGTTTTTTCCTCGTTGCAGCCATGCTCTCCCGGCGCTCTCTCCCAGACTGCCGGTCGGCCGCTGAAGGACGAAGACGGCGACGCTCAGCCGTGGTCGGCGAATCCCAACAGCAAGCCCGCTGGGCCCAAACCCGCCCCCCTGACCCCGACCAAACCGCCGCCCTCCTCCCCGGTCCACTACCCCAAGGCCGCACCGCAGGGTTCCCCCTACCGCAGCCAGAGGGCGCTGTTCCCCTCCCAGCCTCCCGCCCAGCCGCCTCCTCAAACCGGGCCGGCGGCGTTCCCTCAGTTCGGCACGCAGACGGCACCCCCTCCTCCCCCACCACCGCCCCCGGCTCCGCCCGCCTCATCCCCCTACTTCCCCAACCAGAACCCGGCCCCCGCCGGGCACTTCGCCGCCTTCAAGCCGGCCGTCGCCCCCTCCTTCCCGCCGCACGGCGTCCACTACCAGGCTGCCTCAGCGCCCCCGCCGCCGCCCCCTCCCCCTCCTCACCCAACGCTGCTGCACCTGCAGCCGCCGCAGCTCCTGATGACCTCACCACCACCAACGCAGCAGGCAGCGGCTCTGACGCCACCGCCGCCGCCACCGCCTCCTCCCCCTTCTTCCAACCCCCATCACTATCAGTTCCAGACGGCCATGATGCACCCTGGCGCCACGGCAACTGCCTCCCCCTCCTACCCGCCGCCGCTGCAGCAGACCGGACTGCCGCCGCCCCCCCCTCCACCGCCGCAGCAGCCCGCCGCCGCCCAGATGCCCCCCGGCCCCCGCGGCGCTCCGGCGACCTCAAACTCCTTCCACAGCTCGGGGTACCTGAGCTCCGGCTGGCACTGACCTCTGACCCCTGTGAACTGTTCAGCAGGGGGGGCGTGTACTATAAGCTGTAGATACGTTTTTATGTTCCTGAACACGCGGCCAGTGGAAAAACAGCTGATTGTGGGGTTAAAGGTCACATTAAAGGACAAACTCTGGGAAGGAGGAAGAAACTATAAGAAAATAAAAATGGCGGACGATCCCCCTGGTGCTCATTGCCCCCCACCCCCCTCTGGCCTACATTTCTGATTTTTATTTTTTTTTTTTTTACAACATCCTCTCAGACGGAGAGGAAACAGTTCTGTTCCCGTTGTAATTCCCGCTCCGGACATTCCAGCCTCTTCCCTCCTGATATCCGTCTTCTACACTGTAAAAACTCAAAGTCTCAAAGTATCTTTGGTCCAGTTTCCACTGCACTTATATTAATTCACTTGAAACAACGGAAAATTAACCTAAAAGAAAAATTTTACCAGTAGGAGCTTTTTAAAGTAAATAATTCCTTAATATTGATAAAAAAATTTACTAATTTCACTTTAAAAAAATGTTTTATAAGTGAAAAAATCTGCTACTTTTTATCAATGTTCAAGAATTATTTAACTTAAAAAGACATTAGGGGCCAGGGTTGTTCACAGTGAGGCACGTGGGCCATTTGTGGCCCTGAAACAGATTTTTTTTGTGGCCCCAACTCCAGTGATATTAATGTCAATTTTTTTTTTCATTTTTAATCTGAATAAATTAATTACTGACAATTTTCTTACACTGGAAAATGTTACATTTTTTTCCTGAAAAAATTAAATTTTCAGCACCAAAATTATTTCAGGTTTTTTGAAAGTAAGTTGTCCAAATTTTATTCTTATAACTGAGAATAAATTTCTTCAATTGAATTAAAAGTGCTATACAGCAAATTTGAAAATTAACATCACTCCTATGAAAATAAAATTATTTTAAAAACTTGTCTACTTTATTTGCTTTTTTTTTCTTGACCCACACGATGAAAAGTTTGAACACCTTTTTTTAAGTCAATAAAATTGCTAAAAAAGTTACTAAAATTTCAGATTATTTCTCTACTAACAAAGAATAAATGTATTTTCATAAGTAAAAAAAAATCTGTCAGTGTTATTTACACTTTTTGTCAATATTTAAGAATTATCGACTTAAAACAAGCTCTTACATTTTTCTGAAGTTACTTTTAAGTAATTTTTCAACAAGATAAGTGAATAATTCCCTTATATTGCTGCAAAGGTTTCATGTCCACTGGCAAATTTAAGTGGAACTTCAACTTTTTCATAAATACTAAGGATTTATTCACTTACAATAAAGCTTTTATATCTTGCTAAAAAATAACTTGTTTCGAATGTGCAAGTAACTTAGCAAGATATTTCAATAATTCCTTAAAATTGATTCTAAAAAGTACTACTAATCTATGGAACTAGTACGTTTTCATCAATATTAATGAATTATTCAGTCAAAATAAGCTCCTATATGTTTCTAAAAATTTTGTCTTTTTTTCAAACGGTATGAGATTTCTTGAGTATAAACGTCATAAAAATACTTGGATATTTTGAGTTTTTGCAGTGCGTCTGTCGTCAGCAGCTCTGTACACAGTTTATGTTTTAATCTAGTGGCTCAATATAAAATCTTTTTGTATAGAGTAAAAACAAAAAACAGCAAAACAAAAAAACAATTATTTTTTTTAATCTGTCTAACAAATATCTGTTCACCGCTGCAGATTTAGGAAAGATTGGCGAGCAACGCCCCCTGCTGGAGGCTCAGAGTGTGTGTGTGTGTGATTGGGTGTGCGTGTGTGTGTGTATGGCAGCTTACAGGAGTGATTTTTGCGGGCAGATTGGACTCACAAGTCGGACGTCAGCGGTTTATTTTTGAATATCAATGGTTATTTGTAGAAAGTGTAATTTAATGTATAGGTGGTTACTTCAGCTTTCACCAGAAACAGGTTTTGTAAATATTCTGCTGCTTTTCTTTTTCTATGCTTGTACAATTCGCTCCCATCCGACCCCGACGACCCGACCCACAAACTCCCATTTTAAGATATGGTTGTAAATATGAACGCTGTTCTCGGCAAAGCTGAATGTTTCTGTGACTGTAGCATTATTTTTATTTTATTTTTTATTTTTCTCTCCCCTTTTATTGACTCTTCAACTTTGTCTCTTTTTTTTTTTATTTGTGTGTGAGTGTTGCGTTTGTGTGGAGGAGAGAGACTCTCAGACACTGCACTGGTTGGCTATTTTCATGGTTCATTGTAATAAATCACTGTAATGACAGTTTTATATCACTTGTGGCGACATTTGTCTGAACGTTTTGGGGTGAATTATTATCTGGGAAAGTATTTGCACCCTGCTTTCTGTTTTACATCAGAATTACTTCATATACAAATTTTTACATTCATTTTATCAGTGGGTTTTCTTCACTGAAAAACTCCCAAATTTTCTAGTTTCTTGTACAAAATGACTTGGTATGCTTGAAAAAAGACCAAATTAACAAATGTAACTTTTCTTCTTGTTTTTGGCCTTAGATATTTTCAGTTTTATTCATATTGTTCAGGCTTGTAATCTAAAAAAATACCTGTACTAACTTAAAGTAAAGCTTTACTTTTTGGAAGCTAATTCAGGGTTATTTTTTACTTTTCTATTTTCTTGATTTGTCTTTAGCACTAGACAGTTTTTTAAGACTTGCTTTTTATTGAGAAAAAACATAACTGATCAGCTGTTAGATACCAGCTGTCAAGAGCAGACTAAACAGAACTTAAAACAACAAATCTCGCGATGCTTGCCTTTCCCCGAGATGTGTTGCATCCACTGATCTAGGCCTGGGAAACCAAAACAAATAAAACCAAGCTTAAGATCTAATAAAGTTTTAACCTTCTTCACAATATGAAAATTTTTTTTCTTGAAATCCAAACGCTAACTTTAGCTAAGCTAACTGTACAGTTTGATTCGACAAGTTAAGATAAATAAAATGTTGTAAATATGTTAAAAGTTAATTTACAGCAGGGACATAAATGCCAACACTTTTCTAACATAATTTTAACACAAAATGTAAAGTTTTTAAATGTTAATGTCATTAAATGTCCAATTTCTTAAGCGTTAGCAACTAGCAATATTAGCATTTTTATATTCCGCGCGCAACATATTAATGCATATTTCTGGGTCAAATTGAAGAAATATTGAATGGTAGAACCAACCACAATGGATTTTCCTTTAATTTCATCTAAATAATTAGATGAAATTATTTTTTTGTGTGAAATCAACTGCTTTTATTCACAGTAATCGGACGGGAAATGGGCAAAGCGAAGGAAGTAAGGCCTAGCTCCGGAGTCGAACCCCGGGCGGATTAAAGCGCTTTCATCGCTGGCTGCCAACATATCAAACCCTGAAACGTGAACACAACACTTTTTAAAACTAATTTATGTTCATTGTAAAGTTTTAAATTCTGTTTCATCTCAGATATTGGTAGTTCTAGTGTTACTCAGGCTACTTGCTTAGCCTAGCTAAAACATCTGTTTTCCGACTTCCGGTATACTTATTATGTATCCATATAAACTATTAACGTTTGTATAAAATTTGTTGTGGTGCGTTAAAGTGAAAAATGTCAGCTTAGAAAACAAAACCAGACTCGGTTATTCATATTTTTTTCTTTTTCTTTACAATATTGTTAAATAACAAGATACACTAACAATCAATCAATGGCAGGACATTTCAATTTCAAAGTCGAGACAAAGGGACAGAATCAACATGTAGAGCTATTCACTAAATACATATAATTTATGTGTTCTCTTTTATTTCATCACAAACTTTACCAGCAAAGAAAGCTTTGACATGAACAGTTTCCATTTTATAACATCAAATATTTCATCATAAACAAGACCACACTGTTTTGTTTTGTTTTTCTGATTGTCCAGTCTCTGTTTGCTCAGTTCCCAGGTTTTTGCAGACAGCAGTCGTCTTCAGCAGGATGAAGTTTGTTGACTTGGTAAGAAACGTCAAGGCTGTTGTCCATCAGAGTCTGTTTAGTTTCAGTGATTGTTTTGTCTTTTTTTCTGCCCCAAGAAAAAAAACTGAAAAGCAGACTTTTTTTTTTTTGTCCATTTCTGGAAAAAGAATGACAAACTCTCATCCTGGAAAAAAAATGTCAGTTTCAGGTGAGTATAAAAAGTATTTTACAGACAAATGGGGCACTGATCTCAGTACTGGGTTGAATGGCTTCTTTCAGGGCATTTCTTCTTCTTTTGTTGCTTTAATTTGCCGCTTCTCAGCTCTGTGTCCAGCCGCTGAGCCAGGAGATTGACGCCAGGAGTAATGCCACATCCAAACTGTAAAACCTGCAGACATTAAGAAAAATAACTACAGAAATGATCTAAAACAATTCACTTTAGAGTTTTATCATTTTAAGACTTATTTATTTGGCTTGTTTCCATTATTCCCCCCAAAGTTTATTCCTCTGAAGGTGCCAAATAGTCTCAGAAAATAGTTTTTACTTCTAGTAAAGGTTGCATGTTGCAATGCAAATAATGACTATTTTAGTAATTGATTATTCGATTGATAATTTAAACGATCATATAGTTGGATAAAAAAAAATTCAAAATTTTTTCCATAAAAAATGCAAGTAAACAAGTAATTTAAATACTTTTGAAGTAAAAAAAACAAAAAACATTTCATTGCTTAAGGTGTGTATGTATATATATACATTTAGACACACATATATATATATATATATATATATATATATATATATATATATATATATATATATATATATATATATATATATATATATATGAATATATATAATTTTTTTCCAGAAATAAATTGAAGAAAAAAAAGGTTATTCTTAAATTAATCAGAATATTCTTGTTAATTAGCAAAAAAGAATTATTCCTTTTTTTCATGTGAAATGACTTTATTTTCAAGAGATAAATTGAATTAAAACAAAGATTAGACTTTGACAGTAAACATTTTTTGTTATAAAATGTAACATTTATGGGGGTGAGTTTTTTCATATGGACGTTTTTATGTTCATTTGCTAAATTATTTTTGGTAAAAAGAGACATACATACCCACGTGTGTGAATTCTTCACCGTTTCCTGGTGTTATATGACATTATTTCCAGTTTCTGTGGAGATAAAAACAATAAACATTTTTTTAAATGAGGTGAAAAGTGAGATAACCAGCAGGTGGCAGTGTTGCATTATGTTTCAGGAAATAAATGCTCTCAAATTTGGACATTTTATGTTTTCACACACACAAAAAGCAACTACCACCAATTAAATCCTTATTTTATTTCATGAACAATCACCTTTGTCTCTCCGTTTTCTCCCCGATGGCTCATTATTTTTCCCATTCAAGTATTTTGGTTTATAATTGCTTTTTCTTTCTTCATACAAGCCAGCAGACAACCGCTTGATGGGCTGGCTGTGATTCATTTAGTCTAGCTGTGTAAACATCCATTAGTAATTCATGACTCTGTCCAGCATCCCCGGGCTTCAATTAACCCCTGATGTTTGTGTGTTTTCCGTTTCGGACTCCCATCCGTCTCCCTATCGCTCTTTCTTCCTGCAGATGCTTTTTGTTCATTCATTCTGCTCTCCATCAATCATCCTCTTTGGTTATTGGAGCGCTTGTCATCTAAAAAAAGAAACAAAAGCAGCCGACCGACCAGGTGGTGTTTACCGATATAAATTAAAAACGTTCGCATGAAAAGAGAGGCGTTATGCGAGGAGCATCTTTAACAGTGACGTAGTTTAATAAATTAAATTCGTGCTGTAGTTTGACCGCCACCCAACAGAGGGCGCAGCTGGTCATTCCGTTGATAGAGGAAACAAAGATGGCGGCCAGGGCAGAACGTATCAGAGTAACGGTCGGAACAGAGTCCGTTTCGTGCTGGAAAAGTGCACTTTACGCGGTTCTGCTTTGACATATAAACACTCGACAAGCCATAATACAAATTAATGATGTGCTATGAAAGCAAGTATAACTCAGAAATAAAATTAAAATGACGGAAAAAGACATTATGACTGTAAAGCGCGGTTGATTTTGAGTGCTGGCGTCAGTTAATGCACTTTAATTTAAGGCCAATGTTAGGTAAGATTCTTTAAAAACTAGTTGAGTTACTTACTAATTTATATTTTAGTTCATTGAAGAATATTATGAGTTTTGCAGGATTTGGAAGTAGATTTTACTTTCGAATTAAATCTGTGTGACCTAAAATAATTAATTTAGTTATTGAGTAAGATTTTGATAAATTATTCTAACAATTTTATGCAATATGAGAAAGACATTAAAGGATGTAAATAACCAAATAATTAAAATATGTTTTTAATTAAAAAATATTTGTATTAATGCTTCAGTCGAAAACGGAATTTTACTCCTCCAATTACTTTCTACAGTACCTAACATTGATTTGATGTTGACTTTCCTTCTTTTCATTATTCAGTTATTGAACGCAGCTTGTTGATCATTTTTAGGCTCTTGCAGCTTTTAAAGCTCACTCTTTTAGACACCGAAACCTGCGCGGTTGTCTCAGATGTTTTAGTATTTTGCAAGTGAAATAAAATCTGAGATGCTCCTCTTACTTTCTCCCAGCAGGTCTTCAGACATCAGATTATCCTGCCTGTTGCCGAGGACGAATGCCAGGAAGGAGAGGATGAGCGCGTCCAGGATGCCCATGATGGCCAGGATGTAGGCCCAGCGCACCGAGCAGGCGCCCAGCGTGTATCTGTCTGTCTGCTCGCCGCACATCCGCTTCACCTCGTCGCTGTCCCAGCCGTCGGGGTAGATCACGCAGCCCAGAACCAGACTGGTACCTGGAACAGGAGGTGAGACAGATGGACCAGGGTGCTTAACATGCTACCAGGGGAGGATTCATGTTGCTGAACCTGGAAACATGCTGCGGTTTATTAAAGATGCATTGCTGCATAGATTGTTGGCTACAGACACAGAGTCATTCATCACACTTGAAATTCTTGGATTTGTATTTAACACTCCTGAGTTTAAACTTTGCTTTGCACATTAGAGCTGCAACTAACAATTATTTTAGAGATCGATTATTCGGTTATTCTGATTTTAAAAATTAACACATTCTGGAATTTTTAATTTCGCTTTTTGATGCAATATTAGAAATACATTAAAATATCTAAATAAACAAATGAAACCTTTCCTTAAATAAAAAAATAAGCATTGCCTAAAATGCAACAATACATCTTTCCTCTAAGTGATCATTTGTAGCAAAACATGCATTTAGCTAAAAAAAAAGAAAATATTTCTAACATCAACATGTGAAAAGCTCAGCCATTTCTGCTTGACTGAACATCAATACAGTGATTATAATTGGATTAATCAATTATTAATTGGATAGCAAAGGGAACTTTATAAATTTTCTTTAGAAAATTTCAACCATCTGAAATACAAAATGAAAATATTAGTTCAATTATTGGTCTGATTATGTTGTTCTTTCAGCAAATGGCGGTGTTTTTAATCTGTATATTCCAGCTAATGATTAAATGATTACTAAATTAGTTGACTATTACTTCAGTAACTGATTAATCGCGATTAATCGATGATTGAAATCTTTGCCCATTCCTCTAAATACAAAACTACACCTCAGTATTTAGACTTTAGTTCACACATGATGATAATCATGTCCCAATAAAACACTTTAAAACCTAAAACATTTGAATTGGGGAGAAAAGATTAACATGGTTCTTTTTTTTGGAGAATTTGTGAGTTCATATGTAATGTTCACTTTGTGGAAGTAAACTCCTGGGAAATCAATTTAAACAATTTTTTGCATGAAATTAAGGAAAACAGAAAAGGAGAGGAAACAATAGAATAAAAACAGTTTTCAAAGCAGCAGCAGATGCTCAAAAAACTCCCAAAGGTGTTAAAAAATATATATATGTAAAATCACAATTAATAATAACATAAAGATACTGTGAAGTTAATATAAATATTAAACTGAGTATTTCTTCAAAAATAATGTTCACTGCAGAAATATAATTAAAAAGTCAGTGTAAAACAGTGCAAGTATGCAATAAGTAATGAAATAAATTCTGTATTTTAGAGATCGAAGAGTCTGCAGACTGAATCAGGAGGGAATGAGCATCAGAGGGAAACGTGACGGTGTTGGCAGCAGTTTAGATTCGGGCCAGAGGTGTTGAAGGAGGCGTAAAAACAGAACCGCATGTTGCAGAACCGTGTGTTGACACGGGCCGTCTTCACAGGCTGTCTGCCGCCTGCCTCATGATGTTAGACGCCTTGGAAACTGTCATCTGATGACTGTTAGCATGGAGCTAAATGGAGTCATTTTAATTCTTTAGAAAAGGCTAAAACTACGCAATTTAAGATATTATTCTTTAGATTTTAACCAGAAAAAATGGCTTACCTGGGAAATACCTGTAATACTTGAACACTAACTTGAGTTACAAGTGGATTAACTGATAAATTATGCCACTTGTGTCATAATCCGGTCAAGCATAAAGTTTTGTGACACAGAGACACATAAATAGAACCTTGAAAATAGTTTTATTAATCAAATGAGAGCAGTTTTTAACCGAAGAGGATCAGGATCAGATGTTTTTCTTAGAATAGACCAGAATTATTCTCATTCTAATTGTATGAAAATCAAATGCCAGACTTCTGGGGGGGAGATTCAGAAGTCAGGGGACAAAATCTTGAAAAAAATCAAAATTCTGAAAAAAAAAAATAGAAATTTTGAAAAAAAAAAAAAAAAGCTTATATTCTGAGAAAAAAGTCAGAATTCTAGAGGGGAAAAATCTGTATTCTATGGAAAAAAGTTAAAATTCTTCAAAAGAAAAGTTGGAATTCTGGGGAAAAAAACTGAGTTCTAAGGAAAAGATCTGAATTCTCAGAAAAAAGTACAAAAGAATTGGTAAAAAAAACTCAAAATTCTTTATTTTTTGTCAGAATTCTAACTTTTGGTTTCAGAAGATTAGAACTAGAATTCTTCTTTGTTATTTTAGTGGCCATAATCATCTTCCCTAAATTTTATAAACGCTAAATTATATTAATGGGAAATGCTGTTGATTTCAATGAGCTGCATCTTTTGTCTTTAGCATTTGTAATTATCGTAATTAAATACGTGAATCGTTTATGTATTGTAGGCAAATATTAAAAATGCTCTTAAAAACACAACCTGCGCAGTAAATCATTGATATAAATTTGCGTCCTACATTTGAAAATCCTTTTTTTTTTCTTTTTCTTTTTTTTTAGTGTGTTACTCTTTTAAGGTTAAAATCAACTGCTGTAATAACACTTTCATGATGTAATATAAATACAAATTATTCTAATGATAGGAGGTGTGTTACACAAAGAGTTGAACTGAAGAAGGTTGATATGGGGGGCCCAAATAAAAATCTGCTCACGGCCCTAAAAAGGCTTGTGTCGGCCCTGTCTGTTAATTCATGCAGCTCAGAAGAATCAGACTGATTCTGTGCACACAATACCGTCATAAATAATGACATTCATAAGGAAATCTTCACTCTGCTGTCTCGTCAGCTCATTTCTAACAGGACTGATGTTTTCAGGTCGGACAGCCTGAATGCTGAAGGCAACATTTATATTGGCAGAGCGATGCGCGTTTGCGACGCCTTGTGTGATTGAGGTCAACAGGAAAATGGAGGATAGGCTGTTTGAAACGAGCTGCCTGACTCTGAGATTCATTCTGGCACTCGAACTCTGCAGGAGATTGGTAGTAATGAGCCGAATCTCACGCTGAGACGCTGAGAACCAAACCAAACGCAGAGAAACGAGAAGGTCGATTAACTTCCAGGGATGCAGATTCCCTCCGATCGTAAAGGCTCCAGAGGTCAGAACTTCTCAGGGACGTGGGATCCTGGAAAGCAGCTTTTGATTTTTACTACGGAGTGTTAGATAAGAAAATAAAAAACATTAAATTACAAGAATAAAGTATTGCAAATATAAACCAGGACAAGAATAAAGTTGAAGGAAGATGAGAATGAAGTCATATTTCGAGAATAAATGTTAATGTTTTGAGAATTAAATCTGAATATTTGGAGGAAAAGGTTGAAATAATGCAAGAATAAAGTCATAATATTACAAAATAAAGTCCTAATATTACAAGTATAGTCATAAGAATTAAGTCGTAATTTTCTAGGGAAAAGTCAATATTTTTGAGAAAAAAGTAATAATAATATCAGATTTGTACAAGAATAAAATCGTAGTCATGACTTTACTGCCATACTTCGACTTTATTCTCATAATTTTCTGACTTTTTTCTCGTAATTTAATTATTTTTTAATTTTCTGAGCGTGCCCCAAATACTCCGTCGTACAACTCAGATCTTTTTACTCACCCTTCCCAAAAAAATGTACAATTTGACCCGCTTTCATTTGTGGACGTAAATTTTCTACTTTTGACATTCAGAAATTTCCACGTTTTTTTCTGAAATTCACAAAATTTCCAAGCTTTTCTCTGGCAAATTTTCAATTTAGAAACACTTTTTTTTTACCCCCCTCTATCTACAATCTCCATAACACGCCGTCGTGGAAAGCTGCTTCAGTTCATCCCATTACATCTGAGCGCTGATTTCCCATCGATTCGTCGGAAATAACGATGTTTTTGCAGCTCGAACATTAATGATCGTAAACGTCCTCTAATTGTCTCCCACTCCGTTCCGCCGGTTTCTGGCCGGGATGGCTACACAATCAGATGCCGTTTTATAACTCAGGCATTCATGTCACACATTCTCATGTCCCAGGGTCAGCTGCTGCTTTCTCCACCTTGGGCGTCTGCTTCAAGGTGGAGCATGACAAATGCAATTAATGGGAGTTAATTGGGGCAGAAAGTGGCAGATGCAGGAATGTATGAGGCTCATCCTTCCCTCCCTTCATCTGTGTTTCTCTTCTGGCCGTGAATCAGAGTGCAGATATGAGAGGAAGGGCAGATGGAGCGTAATGTGCAGCATGCTTCCTGCAGCACACCGCTAAGTTCATTAAAGCTTTCAGCAGCCGGTTCAGTGATTCATGAGGTTAGTCGGTGTTTGGAGGGAAAATTAATGAGCTGATCTGAAGCTGCTGAGTATGGAAGAGGATTAGGAAAAATGGGAAAAAGACAAATATTATGGGGTTTTTCTCTGAATTTGTACTTTGAACTTCCAAACTTAATCCCAGAATTTTGACTGTAATCTCAACATTTTAACTGTAACCTCATATTTTTACTTTAAATTTTGACTTTAAGACCAGAATTTTGGGTTTAAATTTTGGTTTTACTTTAAATTCAGAATTTTGACCTTTATTGAAAAATTTTAACTTTAATCTCAAAATTTGTACGTAAATCTCAGAATTTTGACTTTAATCTTAAAATTTTAACTATAATCTAAAGATCAGAATTTTGGTTTTAAATAAAAATTTTACTTTAAACTCAGAATTTTTACTTCAATCTCAAACGTTTGACTTCAGTCTCAGAATTTTGACTTTAATATTACAATTTTGACCTTAATCTAAAATTGTGACTTTAAATTTAGACTTTCTACTCAAAATTCAAATCTACAAAGTAAATTTGGGACAGGCCAACTTACAGGAATAAAGAAACAATTAGATGCTGCATACTCTGGCTCCAATATTTCTTCTTTTAAACATTTGAGATGAAACTCATTCAGAGCATCAATTTATCTGAATTTATCCCGACTACATGAGGTTTCTGCTGCTGAAATCTCGACCAGCAGAGCGTTGCTGATGTCTGCTCTGATCTTCACTACAAAAACTTTGCGATTCTTTGTGATTTAGACAGGGGGATGCAAATACAACATTTGCATCCCCCTGTTTTC